GACTTTCCTGCCTGGGCTGTCTTCAAACTGCAATCCTCAGATCTCAGCCTCTTAAGTAGCTAGGATTACAGGTGTGAGCTACCAGCACTGGATTATTAGCGCTGTTCTTTTTAAGTCTTTATGCCAACACCTCTGTCTCAAGTACCTTCTTAAAATAATACTTTAATATCAAATGTTGATGAAAAGCCTGGAAAAATCTTTCTTATTATGAGCTACTTGTTATTCTAATTTGAAGTAATAATAGTAATTTTTTATTAATAAGCAGTTGTACAAAGAGCCTTCAATTCTGTAAGTCAGGTTATGAGCACAATGCATCTTGATCAGTGTCACTCCTTTTATCAATCATTCTCCCCATTTTTCCTCTAGTGACAGTAAATTTAAAAGCCTTTTTATTAGCATATGTTAGTTATACAAGGGAGGGGATCATTGTGACATTCCCACACACACACATCTACATAGTGTACCCATCAACCTCATCCCTTCTAACATTATTCCTCATCTCCCTCTCCCTTTCTTTTCTTCCCCCCTCCTCCTTTCTTGGAACAATTTCAGTTGGTTTCATTGTTCTTTTTCCATACATGCCTGCTCTTAGTCAAAACCATGGTTAATAAATCTGCAAATAGGCTGGGCTAACTGTATACAAATAACACTTAGATAGCAAACCAAATTTTGATGACTGCTAAAATAATTAAGTCATAAATAAAGTCAGGAGCTGGATCTCAGGGAAAGGAGTGGTTGGGAAGATCTCAGTCGAATTGGGATTAGAAAGAAGATAGGGAGCCACGAGTCATTCAGGGAACAGGATTGCTGGAGTGGGAAAGCCAGGGCAGAACCCAGAACCCAGAGTCCTTTCTGCTGGATATGGGCGGAAGTCTGCACCCCTGGGGAAAGAGCATCCGGGTTACCAGCAGAGGGCTGTACTGTACCTGCCTCCAGCATCAACTCTGAGAGAGAGCCCTCTTACAGGGCACCCTGACTCTCTCCCTTCGTACTATTACTGTTCATCTGTTCTCAGAGCAGGAAAAACTTGAGAGCAAGGTTAGAATACACAGGAAGAGGACAAGGTCATCTCAAAGTCAGTGGAGAGTGGCCCAGGGTACATTAGATGGCAGAGAACACATCAGTAAATTCTTCCTGTGGGGGTCACAACAGTCCTACAAGATGAAAGGTCTTCGTGAGTGGTAGGCCTGGGGACCTCAGGCAAGACAGACCGGGGCGGGGGAGGGGAAGAGAGAATGAAGGCCCAGCATCTGGATTACTGTGGAATCCCAAAGCCATTCCACTCACAGGCAGGAGACCAGCAGGCCAGTGGTGAGCCAGAGAGGTCAAGGTCAGCGAGGGTCATCTATGGGGATTTCTTGCCCAGGGACAGCATGCAAATGGACTCAGATGCCAGGACCAGAGGCCAGGAAGCAACGAGGTCAGTATAGAGAGGGATGGGAGGAGGAGGTGTTGAAAGCACTGGGTGATTGAACATTCAAGAAGAGGAGTTCTGGTTCAAACACGTTGAGGTCAAGGTCAGACAGAGACAAGCCCTGGTGAGCCAGTCAGATGCGAGAGTGTCCAGCAGTTCTGTGAAGACGGGAGGAATCGTAGGGAAGCCAAGAGATCAGGGCATGGGCAGGAAGCAGGCCTCCCTGGGCGCAGGTGTCCTGTGAGAAGAGCCCTGTTACAGCGAGCTCGTGCCATACGTGCTGTACTGAGCCTTGTCAGACGACGGTAGCCACTCCCCCAAGGCTGCGCTTTAATGCTTAGGGAGTTCTTCAGGGTCCTTGTTATTACCTCACACAAAGAAACTGAGGTTCACAGAAGCTGAGGGACTTGAGCAGAGAAACAGCTAGGGAAAAGTGTGTGTGTGTGTGTGTGTGTGTACATGCGTGCATCTACATGCTGGGCTTGAGCACTGTCTTAGCTTTTTCATTGAAGGCTGGTACTCTACCATTTGACCCACAGCTCCATTTCCATCATTGTTTTTCTTTTTGTCAGTCATGGGGCTTGAACTTGGGGCCTGAGCACTGTCTCCGAGCTCTTTTGCTCAAGGCTAGTGCTCTACCACTTTGAGCCACAGAGCCACTTCGCTTTTTTTGGGGGGAGGAGGGGGGTGGTTAGATGGAGATACAAGTCTCATAGACTGTCCTGTCCAGGCTGGCTTTGAACCCTGATCCTCTTAGCCTCTTGAGTAGCCAGGTGTGAGTCACCTGGCTTCCCTTTCTATCTTTTTACCAGTTCATTGAAAGTAAGAGTCTCTCAAATTGGTCTGCCTGGCCATCTTCAAACCTCGATCTTCCGATCTCAGCCTCCTGAGGATAACAGGCATGCACCACTGGTACCCAGCAGCCCAGTGAATTCTTACATCATGGCCACCACTGAGGACATCACTGCGCCCCCTTGAGGGGTGCTGATGGAAGCTGGGTGCTTTGAGAAGGCTGATGACTGATAGCCAGGCCTTGCCCTGGGATCCAGGTCTGAGCCTCATTCCTGTGGGAGGAATGTTCTTGTTCCTCGGTGCAGGACTGAGCCTAGGCTTGAGAGGCCTCGGCGCCAGCGCAGTGTGATATGGAGGATACTGCTCCTGTGGCACAGGAGCGGGCATCTCCCGGCCTGCATCTGCTCAGGCCAGGGGCGTGCTGTTTACACACGCAGGATTCCCATGGCAGGGCATTGTCACCCCGGGCCCCAGGGTGAGGCTGTGGGGTGGGGTGGGCAGGGCTAGGCTTTGGAGCCCGTGGGCCATGGAACCCTGGTGACCCCATCGGAGGCCCACAGCCAATGATACATTTGCTCTGAGTCAAACTGTGGCCAGACAGACAGCGGCAGGTGGAGGCGGTTCTCTGGTATACGTCGTGGCCTGACGCCCGGCCTGTGACCACAGCAACTATTTTGGGTCCTCTTTTTCCTTCCCTCAACCTGACATCTGTCCGTCCCCTGGCATTGCAGCAATCTGAAATTTTAAATGCTGGCTTTACTTCCTTTTTCTCCCTTAGCCCTGTCCCTGAATACGGGACTTGACTTTCAGAAGCCCACCCCTTCAGAAGGGAGACCACCCCCACAGGAAGCCCCTAGAGAAACGCCCAGCACACCCTCTCAAAGGGTGTCCTGATCTCCCCGGCAGATCCCCTGCGTGGAAGGACGTCCCTGCCACCATTGCCACCCCATGCTAAGCCTGGCCACTAGCAATGGGTTCCTGAACAAAATTGAATGGTCCCTAGCAACAGGCCCCTTCGCAGCATTTCACAGCTTGGCATTTTAATCATGCCAACTGCTATTTCCAGAAGGAGAAAGTGTTAGGATCGGAAATTCATAGAGGTGAAGGAGAACAGATCTAGCTCACAAATGCCTCCGTTTCCTCTTGGACATGAAAGGAGAAATGAGGCTTTCAGGAAAATTCTCTGAATCACTAGTTTAGAGGTTTCTGGGGCCACATCCATATTAATGAGCCCCTTAGACATCCCTTCCCTTCCTTTCCTTCCCACATCTACCCACTTGGATGGAAAAATACAGCCATCTTCCTTCCACCTCATTAACGGAGTGGCCAGCTCTCTGATATAGCTCTGTCCAGAGTGATCATACTATGGGTCACACCTCCCCAGTGAGCGGATGGAGAGAGGCCTAGGCTCCGAGCTTCTGTCCCAGGAGTAGGTGCTGGCACCCCACGGTGATGGGCTGATCAGTGGTCACAGAGAGCCTGTTACACAGTCCTTTGGGGCCAGTCAAGTCACCTCTGGGCTGTCCAGCTCTGTGTCGGATCTAGCACCAGCCTGGGTTTATACCCCTTGGGGAGACCAGGCTTTTGGAGGGAGGCCTACGAGACTACAGCTCTTAGAAGCCACGAAGCTAAGGTTCAGAAAGCTGCAAGGAGAGCAGTTTCAGTCCTGGCAGAAAGACCTGCTTCGCCCGTTAGAAATAGCTCTTGCCTGGAATCAGGGAAGGGGAAGGGTGACCTGGCCAGGCTTAAGGTGACCCAACAGATCAGGCTACAGGAGCAGAGCCTGGCAGAGTCAGTAAGGCCTTCTGCAGGGCGGGGCTAAGCGGGCCTCAGACCTCCCTCATCCACAGGGTACCCCACATTCAGATTGTTGGAGTAGGAAAGTAGTAGGGGGGGCGGGAAGTTTGGGCAGGAATAGAAGTTGGAGGGCAAGACCCTGAGCAGCAAAGGAGAGCCATGTAGGCTCCCCTACCTCCTATCAGTCCACTGGATGGAGGTAAAAGAAAGATGCTCAGGCCGGAAGCCACCTAGAGAATGTGTCTTCAGGACTGCCCCAGGTCATCGATGTATCCATGCTGCTCTAGACCCTGGAGATAATGGGGAAGGATGGACAGAAATTCCCTGCCCCACATCCTGGAGCTCATATTCTGGGTAGGGAGGCGTAATGAGCAAGAGAAGGATTTGCATGGAAAGATAAATACACAGAACTGCAGCTAGGTGTAAGTGCTGGAAAGAGGAACAGGAAACACTGGAGGGGTTGCACTTGGTGGCCAGAAAAGACCCAAGCGAGGGGATGGCTCTTGAGTACAGGCTGGCTAGATGCTGCACCCCAGTGGCTCACACCCGTAATCCTAGCCACCTAGAAAGCCAAGACCTGGAAGGTTGAAGTTCAGAAGGCTTTGACCTTAGCAGAAAAGTCTGCAAGAACCTATCTCCAATTAACCAGCAAACTGCTGGACTGGAGGCGTGGCTCAAGTGGTAGGGCAGCCACTGTAAGCAAGCAAAGCAGAGCAAAGGGGTGAGGCTCTGAGTTTAAGCCCTGGTACCTGCACACACACACCGCACATACACACACACACACACACACACACCCACACCAGCTAGAAGTGAGAGAGAGCTGGGGACGTGGGGTGGGTGGTAATGAGGTACCCCTGGTTGGGATTTAAAGAACAGCACGAGCCAAGTGTCCTAACAGGATTGCTGAGAGCAATCCTGGGGACACAGTGGCTAGAGGATGGAGCAAGGGGTATTGGGAGCGCGCAGAGGAGAGGCGTGACCTCATTTCCTCCCACAGGAAAAGCTGGAGTACTTCTTCCTCATCGTCTACTCCATTGAAGCCGCCATGAAGATCATTGCTTATGGCTTCCTATTTCACCCGGATGCCTATCTGCGAAGCGGCTGGAATGTACTGGACTTTACCATCGTCTTCCTGGGGTGAGGCCTAGCTGGAGTCAGAGCCTCAGGATCTACACATGGTGCTAGCTGCCTCCACTGGTGGTCAATGCTGGTGGGGAATGGAGAATTGCCTCCCCACCTGGCAACAGGCCACAAGCTCCTTCCCCAGCTTAGGACCCGGAAGTAAATGCATGTGATGACCCAGAAGTGGTTTATGTGTGTTCTAGCAGCCCAGGGGTCATGGAGAGTCACATCTCCCTGCTTTTGTGGTTTGTTCATGTATCCAACAGGCCAATATTACATACCTATTATGTGGATTCACAGAAATAAAGGACGTTGGATAACGTTTATTAGCTTGCAAGCGCAGTTGAAAATAGAGTCCTCCACAGGCTAGAAATACAAATAACGCAGGTCTGTTCCCTTGTTGCTCCATTGGCTTCAAGACCAAGGGCAAGGTAGCCGTCCTTGTCAGGACACAGAGAATGCACACACATTCCTGGTGTGTGTCCACATTTCCTTTTGTAAGAACATGAATTAAAGTGGATCAGAGCCCACTCTGGCAACCTCATTTGTACCACCTAATTATAACAGCGACATTTATCAAGCACTTACTGTGTACATCACATGTAGCATCTCATTTAATTCCCCAACAAGCCTCTTGTTTCTTGGATGAAGAGGCCAAGGCTAGAGGTGAGGGGATGTACCAAATGTCACACAGCTAGCTGGTGACCGTGACAGGATTCAAACCAAGGTGGCCTCGGCTGCAAGGCTTGCCCACCTAACCTCCATCCAGCACATGTCCATGTCAGTCATGCTGGTCAGCTGCTTATCCAGGGCTGAGCATGAGGAAGCAAACAGGATTCTAAGGAATCAACCTGGCCCTTAGTGAGCAGCCCTGGATGGAAGCCGAGACACGAAGCGTGTCTCAGGGGATTCCCAACGCAAGAGTGGAGGTAGAGTTGAGTAGGGTGAGAGGGGAGGGCTGCAGATGCGTCAGTGGCAGGGGCTAGAGGAAGGGGCGTGCAAGGGGAGGCTGAGGAGAACTCACTCGGGGTTGTCTTCTGGGTCACCATCAAGTGTAGGGGGGAAGATCTGCAGCTCACCTCGGTGTACTCAGCCCCAGGGCCAGAGCCAGTGCGCTGGCACCCAAACCTCAACCCCCTTTCCTTACCCAGGCAGACATGACCAATAGATCACAGCACTGCGGTCATCAAATCTGAACTTGACCTCTGAATCCTTTACAGCAAATTTCTCCTCACTGGTACAATCTAGTCATGAGGTAGAAGTGAGCGAATCGCATTTACCCTTGCCCCGGAGCTAGTCCCCTGAACAGAGGGGACCCCGGAGTCCTGGACCTCTGGTACAAGTTTTTAATTGACCATTGGCCCCCCTTCTCTCCATCTTCTCTACTCCAGGGTCTTCACGGTGATTTTGGAACAGGTTAACGTCATCCAGACCCACACGGCCCCCCTGAGCAACAAAGGAGCCGGCTTGGATGTCAAGGCCTTGAGAGCCTTCCGAGTGCTCAGGCCCCTGCGGCTGGTGTCAGGGGTGCCCAGTGGGTGGTGATGCTCTGCTGACCCTTGCTCCTTCCCCAACCTCCTCCCTTGCTCTCCCCCCCCCCCACCCGGTGTCCCAGAGGCTTCCGGGGTTTCTGAGAGGGAGGGCCAGGAGATCGAGAGTGGGGTGACTCTTCCTTTCCCCTCCCTGCCCGCCCGGCAGGCCTGCAGGTGGTCCTCAACTCCATCTTCCAGGCCATGCTCCCCTTGTTCCACATCGCCCTGCTTGTTCTCTTCATGGTCATCATCTACGCCATCATCGGGCTGGAGCTCTTCAAAGGCAAGATGCACAAGACCTGCTACTTCATCGGGACAGGTGAGCCGGGAGGGACGGGGAGAGTAGAGGTCCAGGGACAGCTCGCTACATGAGCCCCCGCAGGTAGCAAATTGCCTCCAGGGTGAGAGTTTTGCCTCCCCTACCTGTTGACTGTGGAAATGAGTTTCTCCTGGGCAGAGAACTGGAAGAAATGTAGCTGTGCCTGATCAAGGACAGTGGCCTGAGCCATTACCACACCCCCACACCCCCACCCCCACCCCAGGGTATCTTCCAGGATGCTTAGGACAATTGTTGAGAGCAGCTTGGGCGCCTCTTGAATTTTTTCCTTGGAGCCAGAGATTATCTTTGGTCTAAGTCTGCCTCTCAGATCAGGCTCACCAGGTGGGCTGTAAACCTCGAGAAACACTTGGGTGTCAAAGTGGTCACGTGATGAGTTGTCCAAAATAACCTCCACCGAGGCCCAGAAAGACTCAAACAAAGAAGCATCCTGAAGTTTCCAGAAGGTCTCAGGGCTCTTGACTTTAGGACTCCTTTACGTTCTGATGATATCTTGAGGACCCCAAAGAACTTCAGTTTATCTGGGTTTGGTCATTGCGGTTGGTATTAGAAGGGAAAACTGAGACGAATGTCATGGCATTCTTCATGAACTCATTTGAAAGAGAGAACATTTAAAAACTCATGAGAGAGCATGAATAATTTCTGTGACCAAAAACATTGTCTTTTCCAAAGACAAAGCTATTTAATTGGAAGTACATGTGAAATCTGATGCTTGCACTTTGCGAGAGATTTCAAGCAAGACGTGGAACACAGCAACAAGTACCACCACAGTTTATTAAGAGGGGAGCGTGTGCGTCCACACACTTCTATAGAGAAAAGTGGGTTGTCTCGGAGCAAAGACCAGGCTGTGTCCCGGCTTCCGTAGAGCTGAAGGAGATGTTTTGAGAGAGCCTTTATACATTAACAAAGACAATCTTGATAGCGGAATGAATTCTATCTCATTATAAATGGTACATGTGTTTCTTTGGTTTTGTTTTTACCTTTGTATCCCCAAATGCTCACTGTCTCTTTAAGCTCTTTTTGTATCTCCTCATCTATTTATGTCACTAGCTTCTTTTTACTTATTACTTGTTTTTGTTTTTGGTACCAGAGCTGGAAATCAGGTCTTGGGCTTGCTCAGCTTGTACATGAAAACATCTTGGAAGCTCAGAGTTATTGTTTGTTATTGTTGTTGTTATTTAATTTTATGTTTTTCTCCTTTGGCAGCACTGGGGTTTGAACTCAGAACTTCCCACTTGTTCGGTGGTTATTTTTTAAATTAATTTTATTTATTGTGTATGTGGTACTGAGGAATTGAACCCAGAGCCTCATGCAGGCTAGGCAAGCACTCTGCCACTGAGCCACCTTCCCAGCCCCTCGCTGGTTATTTTTGAGATAGGCCCTTGCACAGTCCCACGCCCGGGCACAATTTGCCCATTTAGTCCTCCCGTTGTAGCAAAGGCAACAGGCTCATGCCTCTGTGCCCATCTCTCCACTGAGAAAGGGGTCTCATGAACCTTTTTTACTGCCCAGGCTGGCCTTGAAGACAACCCCTAACCCCCAATCTCAGTCTCTCAAGTAGCTAGGATTGCAGGCCTAGGGCACTAACACCTGGTCGAGAGCTCTGTTTTTAGATCTACATTCCATCAGGCCCATTTTGCCAGCCTGACTCATCTCTGCATTCCTTTGGGCCCATTTCATGGGCATGGCTCATCTCCACACTTCCTTGGCTCTTGGCGTTTCTGTGTGTTCTGTCCCTTCCACAGTACTCCCTCCACAGTGGCCAGTGCTGTGTCACTCACTTCTAGGGACTGAACTACGTGTCATCCCTCCCTCCCACGTGTCGGGTGGGGAGCTGTGAGCCTAGATGCTCAGACGAGGGCCGGGAGGTTTGTGAGCTGCCAGGGCTGCGGGTCGGCCAGTGCCACTGTGTGTCGCGAGCCGTTCTGTAGACATCAGCTCTCCATACCAACACCCAAGTCCTCTTTTCCACCCCTGGTTTCCTAACTCCCTGTCTAGCCCAGTATGGTTTCCATGGCCAGAGCCGTCGGCACCCTAGCGTAGATCATCAGGCAAGCAGGAAGGGACTGGCAATCCCAACCTTCAGTCCAAATTTGCAGATCCCGCTATGTGGTCTTTTTTTGTACTAAAAAAAAAAGAAGTAGTTTTACTGGGGTTACAGTTCCATATGTCAGGTTATGAGGACAAGGCATCTTAATCGATGCCAGCCTACCCATGAAATCTTCTAAGCACAGCTGAACAACAGTGATTAATAGCCCCTCAAAGATTAAGACTACCGAGTGCAGGGGTCATTGATGCCCATTAATGCCCCTCGATGCCCTCCCTGCCCCATCTTGCTGTCGTTGTGGGCAAGCTGAGTATTCAGTTCTGCTGATCTGAGCTAGTCTCTAAACACAGAGGCAAGCTGTACAACGTGCTAATATAAAAGGGAACCCGGGACATTTTCAGAATTGTAGGCATTGAGGGCTCCCTGGGAGCCCAAGGGAATGCACCAGCCAAGGCCTGGTGGCTGCCTGGCCCGAGGACAGACCCCAGCTGTGAGCCGTGGGCCTGCGGCCAGCCCAGCCTGTCTGCATTAGCTCCATTTTGTCACTCCACACTGAACCCACAGATGGGGAGTCCCACCCCGACTCCAGTCAGGCAGAAGCCCCCTCCCCATCTTTATAGCTTGATGAGCTGCTATAGATTGTGCTGCCTAGGACAATTTAACAGAGAAGCAGATCGCCACAGAGGCCTTGGGACCTAAGACACGATGACTCACTGCGAGTCCTCCATGCCCGGCCTTCCTCCCGATCTCCACCTGCTGCTCCCCTGCAAGAAGCAGCGCGTTGCTCCCCTGCCCGTGTCCTTGTGCCTGCGGCTTCTTAAGACTGCTGCCCACCACGTCTTCTCCTGCTATTGTTCACCTTCTCCCTCCAGACATCGTGGCCACCGTGGAGAATGAGAAGCCATCCCCCTGTGCCCGGACAGGCTCGGGGCGGCCCTGTACCATCAACGGCAGCGAGTGCCGGGGTGGCTGGCCAGGACCCAACCACGGCATCACCCACTTTGACAACTTCGGCTTCTCCATGCTCACCGTGTACCAGTGCATCACCATGGAAGGGTGGACCGATGTCCTCTACTGGGTAGGTCTGGGCCTGGGTCTCTGCAATCATCTCCCTAGGGGGAGCAAATGAGGGGGATGCAGTACCTTGTCTACCCCCCTAGGTACTCCTGCAGGGACATGGCCTCCTCCTCCTCTCAAGGTGGTATCCCAGCATTCTCTGGGGCAGTCCCAAGAGGGTAGGTGAAGTGAGGAGCCCCACAGATCTTGTCTCTGTCCCTAATGTCTCCCTAAGCCTGGCTGTCTGTGACTCTGTCCTGGTAGCCGGCAAGCTTAGGCATCTCAAGAACGAACCACCCTTTGGGTTTTTATCTTGGTGTTAGCTACCCACTTAATTGCAGGCCTATTTTTTGTTTTGTTTTTGTGCTAATCCTGGGACTTGAACTCAGGGCCCAGGCACTATCTCTAAGCTCTTATTGCTCAAGGCTAGTGCTCTACCACTTGAGCCACAGCTCTACTTCTGGCTTTTTGCTGGTTCCTTAGAGATATGAGTCTTATAGACTTTCCTGCCCAGACTGGCTTCAAACCATGACCCTCAGATCTCAGCCTCCTGAGTAGCTAGGATTGGAGATGAGAGCCCCATTTTATAGATAAGGAGATAGAAGCTCAGAGAGGTGAAGTGACTGGGAACCTAAATAGGAACCTAATGAGCAGCAGAGCCAAGAACGGAGCTCTAATCCATCCGGCTACCACCCAGAGCTCCTAATCACAGCCTGGCACTCCTTTGAGGGAGAAATTGTAACACTGTCAAACACTGCACAAATACAAAGGATTAGGGTGAATATTTCTTATGAGCTCATTTTAGAGATGCAAATTTTTAAGCATGTCATGGGAATGTGGCATGTGTTACTTCACCGCCGCTACAAGCCTGGGAGGAGACAACCTGTGTCATTATCCTCACTAGGCAGAGATGTTAGGGGACTTGTCACAGAGAGCCACAGAGATTGTTTGTTTGGAAAACTTTGGCCACAAAGAAACCAGCTGAATGCGGGGCACTGGTGGCCCACGCCTGTAATTCTAACTACTCAAGGGGCTGAGATCTGAAGACCACAGTTCAAAGACCACAGTTCAGCCAGGCAGAAAAATAATCCCTAAGACTCTTATCTCCAATTAACCAGTAAAAAGCCAGAGGGGAACTGTGGCTCAAGTGGTAGAGTGCCATCAATGAGCAAAAAAGCTAATCAAAAAGGCAAGAGCTTAAGTTCAAGCCCCAAATAGTAGCATGAGAGAGAGGGGGGGGGGAGGGAGAGAGGGAGAGAAGGGGGAGGGGTGAAGGGAAGCAAGGGAGAAAGAAGCAGCAGTCAGCTAGTTAACATCCAAGCAGTTGAGTCTAGAGAGAGATGGGAAACCCCTTGGTTGGGTGGACAGTGCGTGCGGTGGACAGTCGATGAGTGTCTGCCCATCCCCCTGACATCCTCCCAGCTCAGATCCTAGTGCTCAGGCCAGAAAAGGCTTCCTTGCTGGGCCCCAATGGCTTTTCTTCTTATCCCCGGAGTGGGTAGAGTCTGAAAGGACAGAGCTGGGGACAGGAACTGAGTCAGAGGAAAGGACTCACACCTTTGTCTGCACCAGGTCAACGATGCCATTGGGAACGAGTGGCCCTGGCTCTACTTTGTCACCCTCATTCTGCTGGGATCCTTCTTCATCCTCAACCTGGTGCTGGGCGTTCTGAGTGGGTAAGAATCCCACGGCAGCTGGGGCGGCAGGAGGAAGGAGCGCAATGGGGCTGGGAGGTGTGGTTCAAGACCCCAGCCCATCCGTAGCTACCCTTTAGCCCCACTGAGACAAATGGAAGAGGTAGAAGATGCAAACAAGTCTTCATTTTGCTCCTCCATTCTTGCTTCTGCATTTTCACGCCTGCCTGACACTCCTGAGCCCCTAGCCTCCTGCCCTGGGTGCGTCTCAGTTCCTGTTCAGCACCGGGAGACCGCACGGCCTTCCACTGAAACATTCAAACTCTGGAAGTAGCCCGCCCATTCAATATCTTCCTTCACTAATGCTTTGAAGTTGTGCGACCTTTGCCTAATCACCTCACCTCTCATGCCTCAGTTTCCATATCTGTCAAATGGTACCAATATTATGGGTTATTATGAGGGTTAAATAAGCTAATATGCATAGAGTGCTTAGAACAGGGTCCATCACATAAAAAGCACTAAGTCTACTGGGCACTGGTAGCTCTTACCTGTAATCCTACTCAGGAGGCTGAAATCTGAGGATCATGGTTCTAAGCCAGCTTGGGTAGAAAAGTCCATGAGATTGTTTTTTTTTGGGGGGGCCTGGTTGTGGGGCCTGAACTCTGGGCCTGGGTGCTGTCCCTCAGCTCTTCAGCTCAAGGCTAGCGCTCTACCACTTGAGCCACAGCACCACTTCCATCTTCTTTCTTTTTGCTTATGTGGTGCTGAGGAATCGAACCCAGGGCCTCATGCATGCAAGGCAAGCGCTTTACCACTGAGCCACCTTCCCAGCCCCTCCATGAGATTCTTATCTCCAGTTAACCAGCAAAAGAGCTGGAAGTAGAGGTGCGGCTTAAGTGATAGAGTGCCAGCCTTGAGCAGAAAGAGCCAGGTGAGAGTTCAAGAATCTGAGTTCACACCACAGTAGCAGCAAACATATAAAAGTACTATTATTGTAGTTATTATTATTTATTATTATTACAAAGCTAAAGCTGGAATTCAGATCTTAACCCTTTCTAGGCAAGCACTCTACCACTTAAGCCACACCCTTAATCCTTATAGCTTTCAGTGTGTGTGTGTGTGTGTGTGTGTGTGTGTGTGTGTGTGTGTGTGTGTTTTCAGATAGGGTCTCATGCTTTTGCCTTGGCTATCCTCAGACTTCAATCTTACTATCTCTACCTCTAGAGTAGTGGGGATTATAGGCATGAGTCATCACATCCATTTGTTTCTGAGACAGGGTCTGCTTGACTTTTTTTTCCCCCAAGTTGGTCTCATACCTCTATCTTCCAGTCTCCCCCTTCCAAGTCACTGGGATTACAGGTGTCTGTGTCATTATAACTGAGCACTGTCAATGTGGAGCAACCCTGCTTTGGTCCTTCCACAGCGAAAGGGCCATCAGTGGCCATCAGCTTCCTTCCCTATTAACTTCCCTCACCCTGGACAGCCTGTACATAGAATTCAAGGGGTCTGTAAAGTTAACTAGGAGAAAATTTTTGTTCATTTTTTATTCTAGTTATTGAACTTTTCTATTTCTTTTAACCATGAACATAGGCAACACACCACAGTGATATTAGTGTCTACAAGTTGTGCTAACAGAAATTGGGTCACATGACAATCTTTGCTAATCTGTTTTCACTTGTTCCTACATGAAAATCATGACACACTAGACCCGCAAGTAGAGCTGGCTAGTTGATGAGTTCATGAAGAAGCACACGTACTCCTCTATATGAATGTGCAATGGTTCAACTACTGTATATTCATAGACTAGGTTGCTTTGTAAAGGCAATGATTCTATTTTGGGCATCATGCAACATTATTCTGAGGAGGGGTCTGTGGCTCAAAATATTCCCAAGCCCCTACCTGGACATTGTCCTTCCAGAGAGAGCGGCTGTCCCCCACCTGATGCTGGGTACATCTCGGAGCCCAGGACTTTGCTGTTCTCTCCCCCTGGAGACACAGGGCTGCCCCCTGCTGGTCTGAAGATCCCTTGCATCCTTCAGTCCCTTTGGGGCTCTATGGCGGGGCTGCTTTGAGGCCCAGGGAATTTTTCTCAGGCCTTAGGTCTATAAGCAGAAGCCATTTCCGAGGCAGCTTAAAGGTCAGGAAATACCACAGATTTGGGGCCCCAAGCCTGATTCCATAAGGGTGGTGGATTGTCCTGTCATGAACCCCTCACTTCCAAGGGTGACCAGGAGCAAGTCACGCAGGTTGAGTTCAGAAGCCAATGTAGACCCCACGGGTGCCCGGAGGGTATGAGAAGCGGAGGAAAAGCGGTCGTCCCTCCGACCGGGCTCCGGGCCAGCGCACCGCACATCTGTTCTATAGCAGCTAAGTCTGCTCTTTCCCCTTGGCCCCCTCGTCCCCTCTCCACTCCCGTCCCTTCAGGGAATTCACCAAAGAGCGGGAGAAGGCCAAGTCCAGGGGCACCTTCCAGAAGCTCCGGGAGAAGCAGCAGCTGGAGGAGGACCTCCGGGGCTACATGAGCTGGATCACCCAGGGCGAGGTCATGGATGTGGAGGACTTGAGAGAAGGTTTGGACCGGACTCCATGGAGAGCAACCCCCCTACCCACAACTGCGCCCTCCCCTGGAGGACACTGACCCCATTTCACCCTCCTGCTAGCCTGCTGAGAGGGGAGAACACGTTTCCCTCAGAGGTCAACAATGAGTCTAAACCCTTGCACCTCAAGATGGTAGAATTACAGTTGCGCTCTGGCCTCTCCCCAAAACAGAGTGAGGTCTGCCATCCTAGCCGTGTCCCCTGCAGGTGGAGACTCTCCAGACTCTGGTGGAAGTCTTGGTCTCAGGAGGGCACAGAAGGGCCAGGCCCCACTGCTGCGGGCATCCTGTCCAGGGTACCTTACCTGCGCCTTGTCTAGCCCAGAGGGACCCAGAAGGCTGGCTGGCTACAGCTAGATCCACTCTGTTTCCAGGAAAGCTGCCTTTGGATGAAGGTGGCTCTGACACAGAGAGCCTGTACGAAATCGAGGGCTTGAACAAAATCATCCAGTTCATGTGAGTATGTCAGCATCTCAGTGGGACGCGATCCAGCTCCCTCCCTTTGAGGCTCTTTTGGGAGGCTTTGGAAAGACAGCCTTTCTGAGAAAATAGGGCATGCTCTTGCTCTGAGGGCTTTGTGGCCAGATGCCTGAGGAATATGCAAATCAGAGCGGAGCCTGTGCAGGAGGCTGATGTACGTACGCAGCATGTAGGAAGGACACGGAGCCCTCGGGAAGCATGCACACAGTGGACAGCTGCCCTGGGGGAGGGGCCACTGCTGGGCAACTCGGGGTGAGCAAACAGAAGGCAGGGGTGGAGGATGGGCTGTACAATACTGAGAGTTTTGCAGGAAGGAGGCAGCCCAGAAGGGGTGACTCCAAGCTCTCTCCCGTCATTGTTCGGTTGCTAGGCTGTGTCATTTTACAAATTCGTATCTGATTATGACTTTTGAAAAGATCAAACAGTAAAGAAATACATCAAAGAAATGATGAAGGCCCCTGCTTTGCCCTTCAAAGAGGTAACCGTGGTAACAGTCTCTCCCTTCTACCTTGTGCTATCATCTCTTACACGCACATGCACATGTGTGTGTGCACACACATTTCACATAATGGAATTTTATTATAACAACTACTGTCACTAAAGACACTAGAACAATGCCTAGCATGTGTCAAGTCGTAACATGAATTGGTTGAATAGATGAATATGTATATGTACTTATGACTTTGATTTCAGATTATCTACTGAGGATAGTTTTCATATGTATACACATACTTTTGGAGAGTATATCATTCAATATAAAGTATTCCACAGTACAGATGCACCAACATACCATAATGTATTTAATCTTTCCTGGTTTTAGCAGTGCCACAGGGAATAATTGTGTAAACATATGAGCATTTCAGCGGGGCAGAATACTAAAATTGGGATTTCTAGGTCAAAGGGAGTGTTTTTTTAACTTTGGTAAATGTTGCTAAATTGCTCACTAAAAATAAGGCTGTAATAAGGAAAGGCTTCCCTCACCCACCTCCTCCAGACATGGTTAATTTACTGAAAGACTTCCTATGGGATGAGCAAAATATGACATCTCAGTGTTGCTTTCATTGAAAGTAGAATATGTGGGGCTTCTGTTCTACATCAGTTACCAGGCTGCACATTTTGCTTGCATTATCTCATTGAATTATTCAGCTATCTCAGGAGCCCTCCTCATCGTGATTCTTGTTTAAAAGATGAAGATGTTTGCTAGTAAAAGGCCAAGTGTCCAATTAGCCAAGCTCTACATCTCCTGCCCTTAGCTTCTGTTGGATGGCTGCAGGAGAGAGTTGGCTGGAACTGGGCTGGGAGGAACGGTAGAAAGGTAGAGCTCCGAGCTGAGCAGCTCTTGGTCTCCATCCTCTTCTGTCTCCTCCCGCAGCCGGCACTGGAGGCAGTGGAACCGCGTCTTCCGCTGGAAGTGCCACGACCTGGTGAAATCCAAGGTCTTCTACTGGCTAGTCATCCTAGTGGTTGCCCTCAACACCTTGTCAATTGCCTCGGAGCACCACAACCAGCCGCTCTGGCTGACTCACTTGCAAGGTGAGTGTGCGGGAAGGAAGCGGAAGGTGAGTCCATGAGGCCTGATGCTCAGACCTGCCGGGGCACCACGAGATTTGCAGCAGAGCTCAACTTAACCTTGACAATGACAGACACTGGTATTCAATCAACTGATGTAAGGTATCAAGGGGGAGGGGACAGTCACAGACCAGGAGATACTTGAGCTCTGCAGATCTTAAAGAAGAAGTAGACAAGGCCCAGAGGTCAAAGGTTAGTGAGGATTCCTGCAGGAGGAACAGTGCATTCAAAGGTGTGAAGATGTGAACATCTGGAGAATTCGGAGAGCAACAGAAACTGGGAGTGTGAGGAAGAGGCAGGCGCTGCGTGGCAGGACCGTACAAACCATCATACGTTGTTAGCACTATGAACCCAGGCACCAAGAGACGCCAACGAGGTGACGAGAAAGAATTATATAACACTATCAGACTGGAGCCTTTGAATGACCAGCTTTGGTGGCAGATAAAACAGCCCAGCTTTATCCATGCCGTAGACGTCCCTCTGGGCGCAGAGCTGTGGTCTCTAGCAGTGAGTAGGGTAACCGAAAGAAAGTCCCAGTTAGTTCCCCCCAACATAGCCGACAAACTGGGAGCCCTCCCCGCTGTAAGTGTGCAGTTAATGCCGCACAAGTTATAATAATGATGTGTCGGGACCGAGAAGGGAGTCTCAGAGTGGCAGAAACAAGGAGGTGACTCAAAGACAGAGCAGTCGGCTCCTAAGCTGACTTCCTGGGGGCATTTTAGATCTAGCCTTAAGCCCTTTGGGGTGGCATCTGGGCTCCTAATGTCTATTCAGAGACCACAGACAAGCCCTGGGCTTGCCTGAGTGGGGACTCTAATCATGTCCAGTCAGAGCCTGGAAAAGCTCCCCTTGAATAGAGGGAGACAAAATCTTATTGTCTATCAGGTCAGGTGAGGAACCTAAAAATGTGTCCCAGGTAGAGGTCTTGAAGGAAGGGAAAAATGTCTCAAGGAAGAAAACCAAACTCCAATCTTCCCTGTGCAGATTGCCCTGTACAGATTTGAGAACTCATTGACACTGCCTTTCATGACACAAAGATCAGAAGTTAAGATAGAACCATAAGAAAAAAAGAGTCACAGACAAGTGAAATTTGCAGGGCTCCAAAAGAAGCGCATGCAAGTATGTTTTAAGGATGCTTCTCAAGTTGAGGCAGCAGAACCCCTGAGCAGACAAACATTTCCCAATGATGAGCTCGCAAGAAAAAATTACAAATCAGATAAGAACCAGAGCCAGAAGAGTGGTGGGGTCCAGGCAATGGGAACTGATGAGCCCAAGAACAGGAAATACCAAACAGTACCAAAGGAACTGTGTTTAAAGTGCTGAAATAGATGGAACTTTAAAGAATAGAAGGTTGTCTTCTTAGGAAGGAAAATAGGAAATAAAGCTGCCATCCGTGGGTAGGGATGCATGCATCCAAGGTCCATTCAGTCCTGGGAGCCGCCCTTGAACAAGCTGTGGTCTGTAATGCACTCTCAGTGCCCTAAGGTTGGGAAGATGGAAACCCCACCCACCCAGAGGAGTCAGAGGTGAATCCGAGGTTCCTGGCCTATGCAGATAAATGAAAGGTAGTAGCTTTACTTACTGAGATGGAGAAGGTGCTCAATGGACCCGGTCATTCTGGTGGGTGGAGGAGGATAGACATCAGTTTGATCTTGGGTGCACTGAGTTCAGTATATTCCAATGAAGATGTCCAGGAGGCAGATGGAAATGTTGGTGTGGATTTTAGTATGCACGTCTAAATTTCTGAAGAATGAAATCTGGGAAGTCATTGACAGCAATGACATTGAACAAGCATCTTATAAATACCACCAGATCACCAGGGGCTAGCGCACACTCAAACACATGGCCCAAGGCCAGTGTTCAATAAAGAATGCATCTGAGCCCAGGACTGGTGTTTCACACTTGTAATTCTAACTACTCAGGAGGCTGAAATCTGAGGGTTGGGGTTTGAAAGCAACTTGCCAGTTCCCGTGAGACTTATCTCCAGTTAACCAGAAAAATCTAAATGTAGAGCTGTGGCCCCAGTGATAGGGTGCTAGCCTTAAGCAAAAAAGCTAATGGGCAGCTCCAGGCCCTGAGTTCAATCCCCAGTACCGGAACACACACAAGAAAGAAAAGATGAGAGAAATACGAGAGAGAGAGGGGGAGAAGGGAGGAAGGAAGGAAGGAAGGCAGGGAGGGAGGGAGGGAGGGAGGAAGGGGGAGAGAGAGGGAGGGAGAGAGAGAGGGAGGGAGGGAGGGATAAAAGGGAAAAAGGGAAAAAGGAAAAAGAGAAAATTGTATCTTCAGAGAAAGCTCAGAAGCTAGAGGTATAGAGAAAGTTCAGGAAGATTTGGTGCCACAGAAGTGAGGGCAAGGTGAGACAAATGTTTGAAAATAGAAGGGGAATTTCAGCAGAGCCTGGTGCTGCTAGTAGAACAGAGAAGGAAGGGTTAAACATCCGCTGGATTTGACAACACGGGGCAATAGGTGACCCCGGAGAGAGCCATATAAATGACCCTGGCAAGTCCATCCTCTAGGACAAAGGACCACTGATGGGGGGCTTCCCAGAGGGGCGGGCAAGCGCAGGGCGCAGGGGGACATGTGGGCTTCAGCAGTGGACGGCCCTCTCCTATCAAGAGAAAGGAGGGAGTGATGGCATTTAGTACACTTAAGTGAAATTAGAAGGACTACAATGCAGGTTCTATTAAACACGGGAGAGCTTGTTAGAAATCTAGATCGGGACTTCCTCAGTGGGCCACAGTCACTAGATTTTACTGGGCTTGAAGACTTTTTTTAAGGCTGGTGCTTTGGAAATCCAGTGCGGGTATGCTGGGTGCTGGGTGCTGAGGCTCCCAGGCAGGAGGTAACTGGAGAGCGGCGCTCAGATTGTCCTTCCCACCTGCAGATGTTGCCAACCGCGTGCTGCTGGCCTTGTTCACCATCGAGATGCTGCTGAAGATGTACGGGCTGGGCCTGCGCCAGTACTTCATGTCCATCTTCAACCGCTTCGACTGCTTTGTGGTTTGCAGTGGCATCCTGGAGATCCTGCTGGTGGAGTCCGGTGCCATGACACCCCTGGGCATCTCCGTGCTCCGCTGCATCCGCCTCCTCAGGATCTTCAAGATCACCAAGTGAGCCCAGCGGCGGGGCTCTCCGACCCATCTCATTCATTTCCAATGCTCCGGGGCCTGGCGAGCTCACGGGTAGCCCTGGCTCAGGACTCCTCTCCATCCTTGAACAACCTCCCCCCGGGAAAGAGAAACACCTCGTACTTTCCTTTTTCTTGCCATTATTTATGGCTCGGTGAAAGAAGGGAAAAGAGAAAGGAAATAGAGAAGGAAACACTGACGGAGAGAAGGAGTGGACAATGTGAGGGAGAAGGAAGAGAAGGAAGGAGATAGTATGGAAACAAGAACCTAGGAAGGAAGCAGAGAAGACAAGGAGGGATGAGAAGGCAGAGAATCCATGTGTTCATACACCGTAGCTCCCCGTATCTTCCGCTAATCTGTACCCAGGCTCCCAGTGGATGCAAATAGACTTTTTTTTTTTTTTTGTCGGTTGTGGGGCTTGAACTCTGGGCCTGGGCGCTGTCTCTCAGCTCTTCAGCTCAAGGAAAGCACTCTACCACTTGAGCCACAGCGCCATTTCTGGTTTTCTGGTGGTTAGTTGGAGATGAATTTCATGGACTTTCCTGCCTGGGCTGGCTTTGAACTGTGATCCTCAGATCTCAGCCTCCTGCATAGCTAGGATTACAGGCAGGAGCCACCATTGCCCACCCTAAATGTACCATTTTTATACACACATATCTATGATAGATTAGGCACCATAAAAGATGAACAAGCCAGGCAATGGTGGCTCACGCCTGTAATCTACTCAGGAGGCTGAGATCAGAGGATCACAGTTTGAAGTCAGTCTGTACAGCAAGGGCCAAAAGACTTTGTTTCCAAAATGACCAGCAAAAAGTAGGGCTGGAGGTGTGTCTGAAATGGTAAAGTGCTAGCTATGAGCAAGCCACCTGAGTTGAAACCACCGCCACTCCCAAAAAAGAGAGGTTAACAACAAATATTACAGTTGTAATACCACTGTAGTACAATCCTCCCTTTCTCATATCTCATGCTGTTATGGGGTTGAGTAGCATACATCATTGGCCATAGAGAACAGAAGCCACAGTTAGGAGTGACCACAATGCTCACAAGCATTTCCTAGCCGAAGCTAGTGGTGCACAAAAGCGTAAAGAGCAGTCCTCACTCTCATGGGGTTTCTACTGAAGCTCCTCCACATCCCTATGGAGGACCATGAGACACAAACTAAGACAAGGGCTCTACAGGGAGAGAGTGCCTCTGTGCAGTGAGCCCACTGGCTTCCAGCCCCCAGGCAGCCCTTCTCCTGGGCATTTCCCATCCAGAAGCCCCCTCATACCTCCTCCCCTTGCTGCTGCCTTCGCGCAGGTACTGGACGTCGCTGAGCAACCTGGTGGCATCCCTGCTCAACTCCATCCGCTCCATCGCCTCTCTGCTGTTGCTGCTCTTCCTCTTCATCATCATCTTTGCCCTGCTGGGCATGCACCTGTTTGGGGGCAGGTACGACTTCGAGGACATGCAGGTGCGACGCAGCAACTTCGACAACTTCCCCCAGGCCCTCATCAGTGTCTTCCAGGTGAGACGTCCCGTGGCGCCAGCGAGGAACTCAGCTGGGGAGAGGCCCATCATCAAGCTTCTTGTCCCTGAAGGGCCTTGATATGCTTTTTAGATCATAGCGGGGGCACTGGGGAGAGCGGGAGCCACCAGCTGTGCAGGCGTGGGACAATGGACAGAAAGAGGCCTTTTGGACACCACACGTAGATGGAAGCCCCTTGGGTCTCTCCGTGTCCCCCTCTCATTTTCTCCTTCCTCCTCTCCCCCAGGTCCTGACTGGGGAAGGCTGGGCCTCTGTGATGTACAACGGTATCATGGCCTATGGAGGGCCGTCCTATCCTGGCATGCTGGTGTGCATTTACTTCATCATTCTTTTCGTCTGTGGCAACTGTATCCCCCTGGGAGCAGGGTACAGAGAAGAACGGGGCAGAGGGAAGGAGGGAGAAGGTTCTTCAAAAGAACGGGTTGGCCGGGCACCAGTGGCTCATGCCTGTATTCCTAGCTACTCAAGAACTGAGATCTGAGGATCGCAGTTCAAAGCCAGCCTGGGCAGACAAGTCCATGAGACTTATCTCCAATTAACCGCCAGAAGACCAGAAGTGGCACTGTGCCCCAAACAGTAGAGTGCTTGCCTTGAGCCGAAAAGCTGAGAGACAGCGCCCAAGCCTAGAGTTCAAGCCCCACGACCGATAGAAAAGAAAAGAAAAAGAAGGGGTTGCTGGACACTTGGCTCATGTCTGTAATCCTAACCATTCAGGAGGTTGAGATCTAAGCATCACAGTTCAAAGCCAGCCTGGGCAGAAATGTCTGTGAGACTTTTCATCTCTAATGAAAACAGCAAAAGTCAGAAATGGAGGTGTGGCTCAAGTGGTAGAGCACCAGCCTTGAGCAAAAATAAAAGCTGATCAAGAGCACAAAGCCCTAAGTTTAAGCACTAGCACAAAAACAAAAGAAGAAAGAAAAGGAAAAGAGGGCTTAAAGGTGCCCACTTGCCAGGTAGCAGAGCCTTCTGGCTCCAGGGGAGCTCCTAGGCTCCTGGGGTGGGCAATAGGACACAGCAAAGGCAGGTGGAACTATAGAACATGTCCTTCCATCAGCAAGGCTTGAGAACGATGGAGTGATTGGTTCCAGGAGGTGGCTTGCAGGCCCTGGGCCAGGAAGGCAGAAGCCCAGGGCTCAGCTATGGACCCGCGGGCAGCCTGGTCCTAACTTAGATTCAGAGGCAGGCAGAGAGGAACTGTGAGTATGGCCAGAACGGTTCAGTCTAAGCGCGGAGGCCAACAGGACTGGGCTAGGACAGTGGGAGGCTGAGGTCCGGTGATGAGGGGAGGGGTGAGCAGAGCAGAGAAATATCCCAGGGTCCTCCAGCCTGCGCTGTGGCATCTGACACCTTCCTACGGGAGACAACAGGGAGCTGGCTGATCCTACTTGCTTTGCTTCACGCACTCCCGGTCAGCCAGTCAGGGAGCGGGCCTGGGGACACTCGGGCAGAGTGGGACTCAACCCAAGGCTCCTTAGCTGGACTCCCTCAGATATCCTGCTCAACGTCTTCCTGGCCATTGCTGTGGACAACCTGGCAGAGGCGGAGAGCCTAACTTCTGCCCAGAAGGCCAAGGCTGAGGAGAGGAAACGCAGGAAGATGTCCAAGTGAGTGCTGTGTCCTCCACAGTGGGGGAGCTGACCCCTAGCCATGGCTGACATCGCCCAGCTTTGGGGTGGGGGAGGAGGCTTCTCCCTGGAGCCAGTTGGTCAGGGGTCTCAGGGCACCTGCTCCAGGGGACAGGCTCCTGCAACAAGGACATCCAAGGCTGCTGAAGTCCGAGGAGGTGGATTTGGGGCAGGATTTAGGGGCAGGCTGGTCATGTCTAGGCAATGGATTCTGGGATTTCTCCTCTCAGCCCTGCTGAGAGTCCAGTCTTCAAGGGCCAATCTTCCTGGATGCTAGGCCTCCTCCCTCTGGGAAACAGGGCTGGAGTTTAGTTCTTCACAGATCTCCCCACCTGTAAAGTGGCTTGTCTCTCTGTAGCCTGATCTTCTTCTAGGAGTAGAAGCAGGACCGAGCTAAACATTGTCTCTTAAAATTAACGGGCTGGCCTTGTGCCATGAGATGGCTTTAGGCAATGCTCTTGCTGTCTTTTGTCAGTTTCCCCACGGGAAATTGGGGAGAGTGGTATTGACCTACCTCAAGGTGAAAATAGAAAAGTCCTTTAAGAAGTTTGATAGGTCTGGATGCTGGTAGCTCACACCTGTAATCCTAGATGATCAGGAGGCTGATATCCGAGGATCACAGGTTAAAGCCATCCTGGGCAGGAAAGGCCAAGAAACTCTTATCTCTAATTAATCACCACAAAACTGGAAGTGGCGTTGTGGCTCAGGTGGTAGAATGCTAGCCTTGAGCAAAAGAGCTCAGGGACAGTGCCCAGGCCCTGAGTTCAAGCCCCATGACTGCCCTTCCCCCACCCACCCCCCCACGTCCCGAGAGAAAAATGTTTGGGGTCAACATAGGTCCCTCTCCATCTTCTTCTTCCTTGTTTGAGTTGAAGAGGGGACTAAAGTACAAATGCTATTTTCCACACCCCTAAATCTGCATTTATCACCACTGCATCACGTTTTTGTCATGTGGCTAATGACCTTTCTTAATTCTGTGTAATCAACAGCACATTGTTCTAATGATAAATCACTGTGTTGACAGAAAAAAAAAATTAACGGGCTGGGGATGTTGTTAACGATGCAGATTCTGATTCATCTGGGCTGCACCAGGTTGGGTAGCCGAGGTTCTGCGTTTCTAGCAAGCTCCCAAGTGGTAGCGAGTCTGCAGGTCACCGGAGGCCCACACACATGAGTATGGAACTGGGTTCTAGAGAGCAGCCTGCTTCTCCCATTGCCTGAACCTGCAAGAATGGGACTCCCATTCCTGGAGAGGCACTATGGGAAGAGCAGAGGAGAGAGAGAGAGACCAGCGAAGGAGTCCAGACCTCTCCAAAGAGTTGAGAGCACCCTGGCTAAACCATGCGTCCACCCTGTGAATGCTGACTGAACCAGGTGCAGAGCCTCTGTCTATCCACTCGCTACCATTTCCTTGGTTTTCCAACTCAGGGGTCTCCCAGACAAGACAGAAGAGGAGAAGGCCTCGACAGCCAAGAAGCTGGAGCAGAAGCCCAAGGGGGAAGGAATCCCAACCACCGCCAAGGTGAGACTTCGGGTGATCTTTCACAGGATGGATGGAGAGGGTCTGAAGGCACCCCCCCCTTGCCCTGTGCCTCAGTGAAGCCAAAGTAGTGGGTGGGTGAGAGGCAGGGAGAGAGGGAAGGAGGAAGGGAGAGAAGGAGAGAGGACAGTGGTCCTCTGTCTGGAGAAGGCATCCCCTTGGGGCCCAGTGTATACATCTCCAGGGATTCCTGTCGCTGCTTCCTGCCTAGAGCAAGCAGGAAATCTGCCTCTCTATGAGAGGCTCTACAGAGAAGCCCGGCCTGGCTTCTCACCAGTGCTAGCCCTGCTCTGCCTGCTCTAGCCTGGCTCTGTTCATTATTCTTGGAGACCAAGGAAATGGAGTTCAAGGAGCCAGGAAGCTGGGCCCCAGAGGGGTGAGGAACCCTGACCGAAGGGGATCAGCCCTCCAGGGAGACCAAGCCAAAGGCACCGTGGACACAGACCAAGCTCGGCTCTGCCCCTGCCTGCCTCCCTGGACCTGGCTTCCAGGAGGAAGCCACGGTTGATCCCACTCACCGATCCTCACGCCGTGGGGAGAGCCAGCAAGCAGAAATCCAGGCCGGCTCTTCAGCCCATGTTTAGTCAGGGCCGACGGCATCTCTGGCTTCCTCACCATCTTCATTGTGTTCCTCCCTACAGCTGAAAATCGATGAGTTTGAATCTAACGTCAATGAGATCAAGGACCCTTACCCCTCGGCTGACTTCCCAGGTGAGGATCCTGGAAGCTAGGTAGATAGGAGCCTGGTATTGTCTATGGGGAGTGTGTGCAGGCTGAATTCTCTCCGTGGTCGGCCTCCGTGTGTCCTCTGCCTAGGCCTCTCCCCATGGAGTATAGGACACTGGGGATGTCCCTTCTGCACCCAGCCTTGCAAATAAGCCACCTGCCAGCACACAACGCACACAGGAGCAGAGTCCACACCTAGAATTTTCATTCGCCTCAGCCAGTGTATCCTGAGGGCCAGCTCTGTGCTGCAGGCCTGAGGATCTGATTTTCAGGAGTGCAGAGCTGGTGGGAACACAGTCCCCTGCCAGCCATGCAGAAGGGATTCTGAAGGGGGCCGCTCCTAGCCATGTAAGGATGGGGCCAGTTGCTTATCATCCAGGGCCTGGGATGGAACCATAAGTGGCACTGTTCAAAAATCCACAAGGGGGGGAGACGGGCTCATGGGAGGACGGATGAATAAGACATAGCTAGGCAAACCTCTCCCAACACAGACACATCGCCCATGTCCGCTGCAGAAATCTTACTCGTCCAGACAGAGAAGAAAGACACATGGAGAGAGCGGAGGCCACCCAGGAGAGCGCTGGGACCCAAGGGCTCTCAAGCTCTCTCTGAGCTCACACACAAGTCCTTCAGAGCACTGAGCCGAGGAACAATTTTACGTCTTTGGCGTATTCAACTAGTTATCAAAAATGACTCTGAGCTCCAGGGAGACTTTTTTGTGTGCCCCAAATGGCACACAAAATGGCGCAGGGCAGGCACTCAGTAAAGAGAATGAACATATACACCACGGGATTTGGCCGAGTGAAGTGTGGTCGGATGGAGATGGTACAGAGAAGACTGGGGGAAGTTCTTCAAATTTCTCCCATAAACGAATACTGAGGATCACTCAATGGGGGTGATCACCTCACAAGCACCATCAGGTAGGTAGGAGTGGCTGGTGTGCAGGTGGGAAGGTGGCTGCCTAGGAATGTTGAGGAAGGGGTTGGAGAGAAGTGTGTGTGGGGGGGGGGAGGGATTGAATGTGTTTATATCCGGCTTCTGTTTGTTTCTTTCTCTTTTCTTTTCTTTTTTTTTTGGTGGTGGAGCTAGAGTTGGGGCTTAGGGCTTTGTGCTCCCTGGGCAAGCAGCTACACTTGAGCTATGGCTAGAGCCCTTTTTGCTGTTATTTCTTAGGCAGGGGCTCACACCAGGCTTTAGCCAGTGATCCTCCTCACACCGGGCCTTAGCCAGTGATCCTCCTCACACCAGGCCTTAGCCAGTGATCCTCCTCACACCAGGCCTTAGCCAGTGATCCTCCTCACACCGGGCCTTGGACAGTGATCCTCCTCACACGGGGCCTTAGCCAGTGATCCTCCTCACACCGGGCCTTAGCCAGTGATCCTCCTCACACCGGGCCTTAGACAGTGATCCTCCTCACACCGGGCCTTAGACAGTGATCCTCCTCACACCGGGCCTTAGCCAGTGATCCTCCTCACACCGGGCCTTAGCCAGTGATCCTCCTCACACCGGGCCTTAGACAGTGATCCTCCTCACACCGGGACTTAGCCAGTGATCCTCCTCACACCGGGCCTTAGCCAGTGATCCTCCTCACACCGGGCCTTAGCCAGTGATCCTCCTCACACCTGGGCCTTAGACTGTGATCCTCCTCACACCTGGGCCTTAGACTGTGATCCTCCTCACACCTGGGCCTTGGACAGTGATCCTCCTCACACCAGGCCTTAGCCAGTGATCCTCCTCACACCAGGCCTTGGACAGTGATCCTCCTCACACCGGGCCTTAGACAGTGATCCTCCTCACACCGGGCCTTAGACAGTGATCCTCCTCACACCGGGCCTTAGACAGTGATCCTCCTCACACCTGGGCCTTAGACTGTGATCCTCCTCACACCTGGGCCTTAGACTGTGATCCTCCTCACACCTGGGCCTTGGACAGTGATCCTCCTCACACCAGGCCTTAGCCAGTGATCCTCCTCACACCAGGCCTTGGACAGTGATCCTCCTCACACCTGGGCCTTAGACTGTGATCCTCCTCACACCTGGGCCTTGGACAGTGATCCTCCTCACACCGGGCCTTAGCCAGTGATCCTCCTCACACCGGGCCTTAGCCAGTGATCCTCCTCACACGGGGCCTTAGACAGTGATCCTCCTCACACCGGGCCTTAGCCAGTGATCCTCCTCACACCGGGCCTTAGACTGTGATCCTCCTCACACCGGGCCTTAGCCAGTGATCCTCCTCACACCTGGGCCTTAGACTGTGATCCTCCTCACACCGGGCCTTAGCCAGTGATCCTCCTCATACCTGGGCCTTGGACAGTGATCCTCCTCACACCAGGCCTTAGACTGTGATCCTCTTGTCTCTGTGTCACAAATGGCTGGCAGTATAGGCGGGCACCACTGCATTTAGCTACCTAGTTTCTTTAAAAACAACAACAACACATGAACAAAATGGGATATAAACCCCCCAAAAATGAAAGAACTAGAGAGAAAAGGACACAAATGTGGCAACTCTGAGAACTAACAGTCTCTGGTAGTGAGCAGAAATTATATCTCGGGGCCCTGCGATCATCCAGGCAGGATGAGAAGGGTAAAGTTCTGAGGAGAAAGCAAGAGGAGCAGCGGGGTGTGGGGGTATGATTCGTATGAGCAGGAGGACTCTCCCAGGTAGGGCAGATAGAGAACCGAATCCAGGAGCTCCTGGCCTGCAGGCTGGGGAGGAAGTAGCTGTCAGGACTCCCAGCTTTAGCATTCTCTGGATGCAATCTCAGATATACTTGGAATATCTGTCTCCTCCACCTCCCCCCTGCACACATATCCTGACTCCTGCACTCAACCTTCCCTAGTCCTGGAAGCTGACTGAAGCTCAAGAGATACTGATTGCCTTTTTCCATGCTGGAAGGTTCTCTCCAAAACTACTATGTTTAGATTCCTAGCCAGAGTTCACACACCTCCTCTTGTCGGTTTCCCACGCTGCGTGGCTGAGACTCAAGAAGGCCCCCATGTCTAGCACTGCACAGCAGCTCAATGACAAGGGCAGAACCAGACTTGGTTCTCCCGAAGCCAGGTCTCCCTGCCCCCAGCTAGTGAGTGGTGAAGGTGGTGAACATCCAGCCTAGAGACAGAAGAGGCTGCAACAAGACTCCTGGGCTTTCTTCCAGAAGATTCTGGTCCTATGCGGGGTGAGGGAGGCCCCTCTATGGCTGACTTCAGAGATTCCTTAGAGGACAGAAGCCAAGCACACTGCAGCGTTTGGGGAAGCACCTCTGATGTCTCTTCTCCCCACAGGAGATGATGAGGAAGACGAGCCTGAGATCCCGGTGAGCCCCCGGCCTCGCCCCCTGGCTGAGCTGCAGCTCAAAGAGAAGGCGGTGCCCATTCCAGAAGCCAGCTCCTTCTTCATCTTCAGCCCCACCAATAAGTAGGTGGAGCCTTGGCTGCTGGAGGGGAGAGGTAGCTGATGACAGAGACAGAGACAGAGACAGAGAAGAGACAGAGACAGAGAGAGGTTTTGTTTCCCTGCCCTGCAAAGGCCTGCTCTTGGCTGTCCATTCCTAGTTACTCTATGTGACACCCATTCCTTTAGCTTAAGGTCCTGTGACCTGTCTCCGATGCTAGTACTGGGCTGAGGCGTGGCTCAGTGGGAGAATGCTTACCTAGTGTGTGTGAAGCACTTTTTTTTTCTTTCTTTCTGGGAGAAGTCAGGCTTTTAATCATTACTTACACCCAAGGCTTATTCCTAAGAGTAGTGTTCGATGGTGCAAGGGACAGGAGTTGGGGACATCTGGGGTCATTATTGGCTTTATGATTTTCAGCTTTCCTTTTGTTCTTTAACTACTAGAGTTTGAACTCAGGGCCTCACCTTTGCTAGCAAGTACTCTACCACTTGACCCATGCCCCGAGTCATTCAGCTTTAAGAGACAGAGAACACAGGCTTCGTGGAGTTTCCTGTGGCTGCCTTGGGGTGGAGATCAGCCTGTCTTCTTCCTTGGAGGGAAGAACTTGAAGCAGGGGTGTGTGAAGAGGGGCGGCTGGGGGAGGGCTCTGAGACTCAAGGAGCGCCGGATGCCCAGCCCGGCATGCCAGCCAGAGGAGCGAGGCGACCGTCCACACTTCATCCCGACCCAGGGCACGGGAAATGGCTCCTCTGTCCTGAAGAGGGGCAGAGACCAGTGGAGTCTGAGAGCCCCCAGCTCACAGGGCCCGCTCTCCACTCTTTCCCCCAGGATCCGCGTCCTGTGTCACCGCATTGTCAACGCCACGTGGTTCACCAACTTCATCCTGCTCTTCATCCTGCTCAGCAGCGCTGCCCTGGCTGCAGAGGACCCCATCCGGGCGGAGTCTGTGAGGAATCAGGTGACGTGGCTACCTCTGCTGGCTCTGCACCCCGCCCATACCCCAGGCTTCAGCCCCCCCACCCCATTTCACCCCCGCTGTGTGACCACCGACGTGGGGTTTTCCCAAAGGGCCCAGCCTGCCCATGTACTGTTTCTGACCAGTGATGGATGTCACAGCAGGGCAGGGACAGGCTCTGGCTGCCCACTCCAGATGGTGGTGGAGGTGGTAGTGACGCTGCTGGTGGGAATTATGATGATGATGGTAGTAGTGGTAATGATGTGAGGATGGGGGTGGTGACAGTGGTGGAGATGGTAAAGGAAGTGAAGGTGATGGGAATCAAGGTGGTGGTGATAATGATGGTGATGATGGTAAAGATGATGGTGGTGAGGATGATGGTAGTGGTTGATGATGATGATGATGGTGGTGGTGGTGGCAGCAGTGGTGGTGGTAATAAAGGTGGCAGTGGTTGTAATGGTGATGATGGTTAGTGGTGCTGATGCTGATAGTGATGATGGTGGTAAGGATAATGGTGATGAGGATGATTGTGGTGGAGGTTGATGGGGATGATGGTAGTGGTGAGGAAAATGGTGAGGATGATGGTGGTGGTAGTGATGGTGGTGGTGGTAAAGGACAGGGTAATGGTGGTGGTGGTAATGGAGGTGATGATGGTGGTGGTAATGGAGGTGATGGTGGTGGTAATGGAGGTGATGGTGGGTTGGTGGTAATGGAGGTGATGGTGGTGGTGGTAATGGAGGTGATGATGGTGGTGGTGGTAATGGAGGTGATGATGGTGGTGGTGGTAATGGAGGTGATGATGGTTTGGGTGGTAATGGAGGTGATGGTGGTGGTGGTAATGGAGGTGATGGTGGTGGTGGTAATGGAGGTGATGGTGGTGGTGGTAATGGAGGTGATGATGGTGGTGGTAATGGAGGTGATGGTGGTGGTAATGGAGGTGGTGATGATTTTGGTGGTAATGGAGGTGATGGTGGTTTGGGTGGTAATGGAGGTGATGGTGGTGGTAATGGAGGTGGTGATGATTTTGGTGGTAATGGAGGTGATGGTGGTTTGGGTGGTAATGGAGGTGATGGTGGTGGTGGTAATGGAGGTGGTGGTGGTGGTAATGGAGGTGATGGTGGTGGTGGTAATGGAGGTGATGATGGTGGTGGTAATGGAGGTGATGGTGGTGGTGGTAATGGAGGTGATGGTGATGGTGGTGGTGGTAATGGAGGTGATGATGGTGGTGGTAATGGAGGTGATGGTGGTTTGGGTGGTAATGGAGGTGATGGTGGTGGTGGTAATGGAGGTGGTGGTGGTGGTGGTAATGGAGGTGATGGTGGTGGTGGTAATGGAGGTGGTGATGGTGGTAATGGAGGTGATGATGGTGGTGGTAATGGAGGTGATGGTGGTGGTGGTAATGGAGGTGATGGTGGTGGTAATGGAGGTGATGATGGTGGTGGTAATGGAGGTGGTGGTGGTCGTGGTGGTAATGGAGGTGATGATGGTTTGGGTGGTAATGGAGGTGATGGTGGTTTGGGTGGTAATGGAGGTGATGATGGTTTGGGTGGTAATGGAGGTGGTGGTGGTGGTAATGGAGGTGATGGTGGTGGTAATGGAGGTGATGGTGGTGGTAATGGAGGTGGTGATGGTGGTGGTAATGGAGGTGATGGTGGTTTTGGTGGTAATGGAGGTGGTGGTGGTGGTGGTAATGGAGGTGATGATGGTTTGGGTGGTAATGGAGGTGGTGGTGGTGGTAATGGAGGTGATGGTGGTGGTGGTAATGGAGGTGATGGTGGTGGTGGTGGTGGTGGTGGTGGTGGTGGTAATGGAGGTGATGGTGGTGGTGGTAATGGAGGTGGTGGTGGTGGTAGTAATGGAGGTGATGGTGGTGGTGGTAATGGAGGTGATGGTGGTGGTGGTAATGGAGGTGGTGGTGGTGGTGGTAATGGAGGTGATGATGGTTTGGGTGGTAATGGAGGTGGTGGTGGTGGTGGTAATGGAGGTGATGGTGGTGGTGGTAATGGAGGTGACGATGGTGGTAATGGGGGTGATGGTGGTGGTAATGGGGGTGATGGTGGTAATAGAGATGACGGTGGTGGCTGTGGCAGGAGTGATGGTCATGGCGGTGGTGAGGATGGCAGTGGTGGCCATGCTAGAGGTACCATCCCTCTGCCCTTCCTCTCACTGGCTCACCCTCCCTCCTCGTCCCCAGATCCTTGGGTATTTTGACATTGCGTTCACCTCTGTGTTCACCGTGGAGATTGTCCTCAAGGTGAGTGAAGGCTGTGGACCGACAGCCCTGGGCATGAGCCCAGACCTACTGAGAGGCTGGGCTAAAGCAGACAGAGTGGAAAGAGACGGGCTCGCGGGCCTGGTCCCTTCTCAGGGGGGAAGACAGGGACTTCTACCCTGCCCTTCCACAGAGAAGAGGGCTGGGGCCCCCCACTCCCAGTGGGGGGGGGTGGGAATTGGGGCTCCCCTTGGCCTGTGAAGGTCAGGACTTGGAGAACGTAGGCTGAAGCAGGGAGCTGGGTGGCGCCAGATCTGCCGGCAGCAGTCTGTCTCCGTAGATGCTCTTCCTGAGCCGACGGAGGCAGGAAGCCCTGCTCCGGGGAGGCCAGCCTGCTCCCAGGTCCCTCCCTCTCTGTCTCCCTCCAGATGACCACCTACGGGGCCTTCCTGCACAAAGGGTCCTTCTGCCGCAACTACTTCAACATCTTGGACCTGCTGGTGGTGGCTGTGTCGCTCATCTCCATGGGACTTGAGTGAGCACTGGCATGGGTGTCATCCCCCAGCCTGGGTGCCATCCGCTCGGTACCAGGGCCTCACCCCATGTTAGTCAGTAGGCTCTGTGTCGCACCAGGAGCTCTACCGAATGGCAGAGCCTGGAGATGGAGGGGGGAGGTGGACAGAGGGCAGCCCCTCCCCTTTGCTTCCGACAGAAGCTGCTAGTCTGATGGAAGAGACAGAGCCTGTAGCCACAGGGAAGAAGCCAACCAATGAGAGTTCCACCCCTGAGCAGGGAGCCTCCTTCCTCTAGGGTGGAGTGGGGGGAGATGTGCAAAAAGGTGCCGGGTGGAGGGCTTTGGGATGGGGGGCAGGAAGGAGGCTGGGGCATGGAGGCTGCCTGGCGGAAGCTCACTGCCCCGGGCCTTGCCACTCTGCAGGTCTAGTGCCATCTCCGTGGTGAAGATCCTCAGAGTGCTGAGGGTTCTCCGACCGCTCCGAGCCATCAACAGAGCCAAAGGGCTGAAGGTAAGGAAGTGCCGGGCAGGACCCCAGGGGAGAGGGGCGACCCCTGGGGAGAAGGGCACCAGGTCCCCACTCCAGAAACCTCCTCTCCTTGGCCAAGCTGAGGATGAGGATGAGGTCATGTGTCTGGGCTTCCCCAGATCCTCACTCCGCCTCCAGATCCACCCAGAGGCCGCACATCTTGCACTTCTGGGGTCCCCTGGGGTAGTGGGGTGAGTTACGCAGGCTCCGCCCCCATCCGGCGCTGTCTCCCCTTAGCATGTGGTACAGTGTGTGTTTGTGGCCATCAACACCATCGGGAACATCGTCCTGGTCACCACCTTCCTGCAGTTCATGTTCGCCTGCATCGGCGTCCAGCTCTTCAAGGTGAGGTGCGGTCCGCCTGAGCAGTCCCTCCGTTCCCCGCCAGGGCTCCGCTGCCAGGCTGTGGCAAGAGCCAGCAATCTCTCTCCCCTCCAGCCAAGGAAGTCCCAGAACCCGAGAACAAATGTTCCTGCATGAATGCGCACATGGTGTTGTTATGTTGCATCGTGTTGTGCTTTGTAGTACCCGAGCTGGAAGTCACGGCCTTGTGCTCGCTAGGTACTCTAGCACTTAACGTCTGCCCAGCCCTTTTTGCTTTGTTTTCTTTTCAGATAGGGTCTCATGCTTTTGCCCACACAAGCCTTAGACCAAAATCTTCCTACCTCTACCTTCAGAGTGGCTGGTGTTACAGACGTAAGCTGTTATGCCCAAAGAAATGAACACTTCTGAGGCTAGAATAGTCCAAGTTTATATCTGGTTGTCTGAGTGCTACCACCTCCTGTCACTGGCCCTGAGTTACCTCTCCCTCCTCCCCCATCTTCCCCACCTTCCCCTACCTCGCCAGGCTCAACTATAACACCCTGTAATCCTACCTCTGCTCAGCAGCCCACGGCCCCATGTGGGATGTCCGGCAACCCCCAGGCCACCAGGAGTCTCACTTCATGTCAGGGCAATCTACTCTGGCTTTCCTGGGCCTCTCTAGGACTCGGGCATGGCCTCCTCTCCCAGAGCTCTGACTTCTGGGTGCCTCTGGGTCGCAGCTCATCTGCAGGGTACAGATACTGATACCTGGAACTCACATAAACACCCCAACAGTTTCCATCATGAGCTAATCCACCCCCTGCACCATAGCATGATCTCCTGAAGTCATGGCGATAGAGGCTCAGTCCATCTTAGACATGCAGTGGAATCGCATAGCCATCATTCATTCATTCATTCATTCAACAAACACATATGAAACATTTTCTCCATAATTGAGCCAGGGCCTCTGTGAAGGTTGAGGGGAGTCACAAGGCAAACTCCCAAGCCTCCTCCAAGGCAGGAGAGACAAGACTTTGAGGAGAGGAGTCAGGGTGGGGCTCCCAGGGGACCCTGAGGGGAGACAATCCTGGAGGGACAGGGCCTACGCATCCTGCTCGTGACCTTTTCCCTTTGCCCAGCAAAGCACTGCCCCTCTCCCCACCACACCCCTCTTTGTCAAGCATCCTGTGGAGGACAGTCTGACCTGACTCACCCCTCACCTGGCACCCAGCCCTGGGCCTAGCTGTAGGAGCGTACCACAGTCATTCCTTAAAGGAACGGAGGAGGATCCACCCTTCCTTTGCCTCCTGTGTCCGGTGCTTCAGTGCCTGCTGCCCAGCCACCAGGAGCAGCTTGGCACAGCTGGCATTTTACACCTCATGCTCTCTACATTTCACTGTGGAGTTTTGCTTTCTGTATTACACCGGGCACTGGGTGTCTAGGGTCTGCCCAGAACCTTGCCCAGTAGCAGTTGGGCATGCTCCCTGATCTTCCCCCAGCCCCCCCCCCCCCACCTACACTCTAGCAGCCCTAATAGGGGAGTATGAGGACAGCACACTCCTGCAGGATGGGGTGAGGGGCCCCCCCAGTCGGCCCTGTGTCCTGGGCTGAGCCAGTTTCCTCTCTGGGTCTCTCATGGAGTTGCACGCGGACCTAGCAAGCGATCCCCCCTGCTCAAGCCAAATCCTTCACGCCTGTTATGTGGCAGAGACAACAGCAGGTGCTCTGGCCTGAGTCGTCTCTGCGGGCGCCAGGCCCGCCCATTCAGGCCTCGGGGTGGGGGCGTGCTGGGTCCCGCTTCAGCCCTGAGGACAAGCTGAGGTATCAGCGCTCATCTGGGGCCCATGTCTGCATTCTTCATCTCACAGCCTCCCTGGGGTTCAGGTTTCCACAGGCAGAAGGGGACACTGCACCCCGGGGAGATGGGGGTCTCAATCGTGCTGGCTCTGGAAGAGAGGAGCAGGGGCTGAGGGTGCTCACATTTGCATCCTCAAGCCCTGCCTGGGGTTTTCTCTGAGACCCTGGACTCACAGGCAGCCTTAACATCCAGGCCGGGGGTGGGGACAGACAGTGGGAGCTGTGAAGATGAATGATGAAGGCAAGATCACCCACGCTCCCCCTTCCCCCGCCCCCAGAAGGGACAGGCCCCTCCTCCCAGACAGTCGGCCCTCCCTTCCCTCTCTCAGTAGTCCACTTTCTCTCCTGTTTCCATGACAACATGTCTCCGTGTCTCCCTCCCCTTGCCGGATGTAGGGGAAGTTCTTCAGCTGCAACGACTTATCCAAGATGACAGAAGAGGAATGCAAGTATGCATTGCTCCGCCAGCTGAGGGGCACAGGGGCAGGGCCTTCACGTGGGGGCCCTACAGGCGGGGAGCTGGAGGCCATCTGCCATTAGGGGATGTCATAGAAGCCCCTTTGCTTGGGCAGCTGGAGGGCAGGGGGAAACGTGCAGCCGTGTCCTCGGCGGTCCTGGATGCAGGCCTTGGTGTCTCTTGCATGCACACTGCCCAGGGCTCGGGCGTGAGGGTTGGGGGCGGGTACGAGGCAGCCCCCCTGTGCTCAGCGGGGTGACAGGGACTTTTCACACCAGGGGCTACTACTACGTGTACAAGGACGGGGACCCCACGCAGATCGAGCTGCGTGCACGCCAGTGGACGCACAACCACTTCCACTTCGACAACGTGCTGTCGGCCATGATGTCACTCTTCACAGTCTCCACCTTCGAGGGATGGCCTCAGTGAGTGGGAGCTGGGGCCTGCCACACTCCCCTGCGGGGGGGGGGGGGAGGCAATGCCAGGAACCAGCCTCAGCCCCCCTGCACCCCCTCTGCGCCATGCCCAGCCCGGGGCCATTGTCATGAAGACAATTCGCTGATGGCTTGTCGGAGTCCGATGTGGACCGATCACTGCCCAAGGCCCCTGAGTGGAGGATTCTGACAAAACGCAGGGCCGTGTGGGAAGGCAGGGGCATTGCAGGATTGGCCCCAGCTGCCCCTCACCTCCGCCCACCCCAGCCTACATCTGTTCCCATCCCTTGTCTGGTCAGAAGGCCCCCTTGTCCAGTGGAATAACGTCCACCCTTCCTAGGCTGGGTCCCAGCCTCATTGCTTTCCATCCTCTTCTCTCTGCCCACCCCAAGGCTACTGTACAAGGCCATAGACGCAAGCGAGGAGGACATGGGCCCTATCTACAACAACCACGTGGAGATGGCCATCTTCTTCATCATCTACATCATCCTCATCGCCTTCTTCATGATGAACATCTTCGTGGGCTTCGTCATCGTCACCTTCCAGGAGCAGGGGGAAACCGAGTACAAGAACTGCGAGCTGGACAAGAACCAGGTGCTGGGCCACCTAGAGAGGGAGTGCACAGCCTCGCAGGCCTCCCCCTCTCCCGGGCCCATCCTGACATCTTAGGGGTGATCTCAGAACCTCCATTTGGTACCCAGTCCTCCCTTCCACGCATCCTGCCCACTTCTAACCAGAAGCAACAGGAAGCGATGGGGTGGGGCCTTCTCATGGAATTCCCATGATGCCTCAGGCTCCCCAGGCTGGGCTGGATAGTAGTCAGAATGGGCCATGATAACTCAAGGGGGACCCAAGGGCCCAGTGGAATTCAGCCTCTCCATGGTCCCTACAGTCCCCCAGCCGTCAGCCCCAAGTTCAGGGTTCCCTAAGTCCGAGGATGAAGGTGTTCTGACCTCTGCTGTCATGCCGTGTCTCAGCGTCAGTGTGTGCAGTACGCCCTGAAGGCCCGCCCACTGAGGTGCTACATCCCCAAAAACCCCTATCAGTACAAGGTGTGGTATGTCGTTACCTCCTCCTACTTCGAATACCTGATGTTTGCCCTCATCATGCTCAACACCATCTGCCTGGGCATGCAGGTAAGGGGCCTCCTAGGAGATGGGGGGCTGAGCAGGCTGGGGCCTGGGCTCTGAGGAGAGCAGAGTGGATCGAACAGGATTCTCTGCACCCCGCTCCCTGCCCATTTTCCTCCCACAATAGGCATTTCCCACCACATGCCAGTCGCTGAGTGGTGAGGTGCAGGATACAGAGGTGAATGGGTCATCAAGGCTTAACGACACCTGTGATCCTTTACAGACAGGCTCCCTGCACCTAGGAGCCCAAGCCACACGCAACACACACATGGTACATAGTACAACGTACACGACAAGTCCACAGCCAGCGGCCGGCAGCCCACATCTCACAGAGGAGGGCGGGGCCAAGGCAGGCAGCAGAACTGGGCAGCTGCCAAGGTGGGGTCACAGGTAGCCATCTGGTCTACCAGGGAGGGAAGGCGGTGAGAGAATCCCTAGAGAACATAGAGACACGGATTCATTGTGGGACGTGGCAGTGGACCAAGGGTCAAGGTTGTTGTCAAGGTCATCGATGGAAGTACCTCTCCGTCTGGGGCAGTGTGCCAGGGACAGGAAGCTTGGCCAGCTAGTTCTCACTACAGTGGTGGTACTAACTACCAAATCTAAGGCTCTGACAAGTCCTGTACCAATACATGGACACTGTCACCAAGTCCTCCTGTCCTGGAACTGATGTGTGAATGAGCTCTGGCCTTGAAGCCCTGAAATAAATACTCTCAGCAGGTCTTGAGCTTGGACTTGGGGAACCTCCCCTCTCCCTCTTTCAATGGAAAGGAGGAGGGCAGAGTACAAAAATCTTAAGGTTTGGTGGAAGTCGGGATGACTAAAGTTACTGAAGCAGGATCCTGGATGTCTGAGCTAAAAACAGGTGGAAAGGGGAGAGGGAGGCTGAAGAAAGAGGGGGGGCAGCTCCCAGGAAGAGGAAATGCTCCAGGAATCGGATGTGAAGGCCCAAGCCCCGCCCACCCCGCTTATCTCTGCAGCACTACAACCAATCAGAGGAGATGAATCACATCTCAGACATCCTCAACGTGGCCTTCACCATCATCTTCACTCTGGAGATGGTTCTCAAGCTCATGGCATTCAAGGCCAGGGTGAGTGTCCAGGCGTCAGGGCCTGACAGGCAAATTCACATGCATGGCCCCGCATCACCTCACTCTCCCGGGTCAGGTAGGTCTTTGTACCTTTACTGCTGGGCTCTGAAGGTTGCCAGAACCTACAGAATGGACGCTGGGTACCTCATCTCTGCCCCTTCTTGGAGCCAATCTTGTGGTCCTGCTTACCCTTCAGTCCTGGGCTAAAGAAGTACCCTAACTTGTTTCTATGGTTTGCAAGTCCACTCCCAGAGACCCCTAAGCCAGCCTAAACACCCGCCCTCTGTTAGTACTGCTGTCAAATCTCAGACAGGCTTTGAGTGGGACTCAGAGGATGAAAAGAGCATTGAGGAGCTGAGAGGAGAAGGGTATGGGTGGGTGGGCACTGGGGAGCATCAGGTGGTTCTCTGGAGTTATCAGTGGATCTGCATCACCTCGGATGGGCTCAGCGCCCTCTGGTGGCCCTCTGTGGGTACTCCAGAGCATCGTCACCTTGGATGGAACAGCGCCACCCCTGCCAGCCACCAGAGCTTACCTCCTCCAGAAGCTCAGTCTCTCCCACTGCTTTCCTTCCCAGGGCTACTTTGGAGACCCCTGGAATGTGTTTGACTTCCTGATCGTCATCGGCAGCATCATTGACGTCATCCTCAGCGAGATTGACGTGAGTATCCAGAAGACGAGCCATCCCTAGGGTGGGACCGAAAGCCTTTGCTCAGTCCATAGACACCTGGGCCATGGGGCACCGGGATGGTTAAAATAACGGAAATGACACATCTTCTGGCCTGGGGAGCCACAGTCCTGCAGAGCAGAGACAGCACAGGCACCCAGTGGTTACACTGGACTGCCTACGTAAGGGGAGAGCTGTGGTGGAAAGCAGAGGCCGTCTCTGGTTGGTATCAGGGAGGCAGCAACTGGAGTTGGAGGCAGGGTGTTAGATGTGCAAAGGTCAGGCATGCCAAATGGTCCTTCAGCAGAGCCTGTGTGTGTGTGCAGAGGAGAGGTAGGTGGGGTAGAACTGAAGAGGGGAGGGAGGTGCATTCATATAGCATGAGGGAAGTCCTCAAAGGCTTTTGGACATGAAGGAGAAAGAATTAGAACTCTACTGTGCGTGTGTGTGTGTGTGTGTGTGTGTGTGTGTGTGTACTTAGAATCCTAGCTGCTAAGGAGGCTGAGATCTGAGGATCATGGTTCAAAGCCAGCCTGGGAAAACAAATACATAAGATTCTTAGCTTCAATGAGCCAGCACAAAGCTGGAATTGCAGATATGAGTCAAGTAAGTGGTCAAGCACCCACCATGAGCAAGAAAAGCTGAGTGAGACTGTGAGGGCCAGTGTTCAAGTCCCAGTATTGACATGAGAGAGAAGAGAGAGGAAGGGGGGGAGGTTTTATTGGAGCCAAGATGCAGATAAAGTCAGATGTGGACGTGTGTAAAGGAAGAGAAGGTGGTGTGCAAAGGCCCTATGCCGAGAGTGTGCACGGAGTGTGGGGAGCAGCAGGAGACCCCCCTGAAGCTGCGGTGGGCAGGGGAGAGGACAAAAGGAAAGTAGACAGAGTCCAGTTGCCCAGAGTCTGGTTGTCCTTGAAGGCCACGGTTGCAATCTTGTGTCTACTCTAAAGAGTCAAGCCCTTTGGGAGCAGTGGGCATCAGGAGGTCCTGCGGGGACCCCCATGAAGGGCTAGGGGCTGGAGAGAGGATGAGACGTGGTCAGTGTTGGATTTAGTGTGAGGCTGAGCCCTGCATGGAGGCAGTGGCCTCAGGACCTGGAACAAGAGATTCAAGATGGAGAGACGAGGCCCTGGGGCGGATGGAGAAATGGCAGCAGGGCGGTGTTGCAGGCGCCGGGTAGGGTGGGCTCAGGCAGCGAGGTCCACCGACAACGGTCTCCCAGGCCCCACGCTCCAAAGGGTCCCATTGCAGAGCCCAAGCTGAGAACAGCTGCAGAGCGGAGGACAGAGGAGGCGCGAGGAGACCGTGCAAGAGACAGAGGCCGAAAACAAGAGACAGCTCTGCTCTGCGTTGGTACCAGGCAGCATCCGGGGCCGGGCAGAGCCAGTGCAGGGGTGAGAGGGACAGGAGGGCGGAGCAAGGCAGGGGACAGCGTCCATCTTCTGTGCTATCCCAGCCAGAGCTATGTGGCTTCCTTCTGAGCTTCCTACCGCTCAGTCCTAAGCTTATTAGCTGTGATTTTGAGGGACCGCAGTGGGGGGGGGGGGATGTTGAGAGAGGCTAGAAAGGGGGACAGCTGAGAAAAAGGCTGAGTCTGTGAGGAAGGAGGCGGACTGCTGGCAGGGATGCCACCTTCTGGGGACTTGGCTGCCACGCTGGCTCTCCAGCACGGGGCAGGGGGGGATGGGGGGTGCCTTGCTCACCCCTGTGCCAGACAGCACTCCATCTGTTCCAGGGAAAGGGAGAGAGAATGAGAAAGAGACTGACAAAGAGAAAGAAGTGAGAGGAAGAGAGAGATGAGAGGGAATGAGAGACAGAAAGAGAGACTGTTGAGCATTCCCATCTATGTTTACTGGGAAACTCACATCCCAAGGGCCTGTGGTTTGAGAGTAGCACTTAGCCACCAGTACTATCAGGAGAGACTGTTGATCAGCCAAAACCACCCAGATCAAAGAATAGTTACTTCCTGAGAGTTGAGGGCTGTGTAGAGGAAGCCTGAATAAATCAAAGTGGTCTTCTTGGCTATTGGAGGTCAGAGAACATCACAGATAATTATCCGATTCATTTTATTTTTTATTTTAAAAACATGGTATTGTTATTATAAAGGTGATATACAGAGGGGTTATAGTTTCAAAAGTCAGGAAAACAGTACATTTCTTTTTGGACAATGTCACCCCTTTCCTCGCTCTCTCTGATTTTATTTTCTTGAGTAGCAAATGTACCTCACCTGGAATATGTGCTTGAAGTTAATGTTAAGATTGATTTCTATTCCTGGATTGGGTTCAGTGATGTATACCTGTAATCCCAGCTACATGGGAGGTAGACACAAAGAATTACAGTTTGAGGCTGGGTCCGTTAACATGAGACCCAATCTTGAAAACACATTAGAAGCAAAACAAAACAAAAACAACCAGGGGTGCGGGTCTTGAGTAGTAGAGCACTTCTCTAGATGAGGTCAATTCTGAATATTGAAAAAAGAAATCGAATCACATTTCTGACACACAAACAGAAAAGATCAACTATTGCAGTGATATAATTCTGCATCCTTCCAATACAATTGCTACTAGGCATGGGTGTCTACTGATCATGTAAAACCTGGCTAGTGGAACTGAGGTACTGGAATGGAATTTGCTTGGCTGCCTGTGCCTGTGGCCTTTGTACTCACCATACAAGTCCAGAACCCAGTTACCATCATGGCTGCCCATCAGATCACCCAGAAGGCACACAAACCCAGGTGCTAGAATGGACTTTAGAATGGACTTCAATGGCCTGAATGGGCTTCCCACAAAGGCCTATATTTTAAGAGAAAAAAAAAATCCAAGTAGTTCTGACATTGACAGCCAGGGCTGCCAGCCAGTGGTCCAAAGCAAATCAGCTCAAGTGTACAGACCAGCCTCAAACTCTGCAGAAATTCAACAACTCCTTGTGACCCAGGGCTCCGGGGAAATGGCTCCTCCTGAAATGTGGCCTAAGGGAGGAGCTTGGAGGGGAAAAAAGTGGTTGTCTCCACACCCCCAAACCCCTGCTCTTTAAGAGCCTGGCCACTGGAGCATGCTCTGTAATTCTGGCTCAAGTCCTAGGCAGAGGGGAGTCTGCTGGGGGTATTGGCTCCCCCAGAGGAGCTCCACCCCTCTGGAAGCTGCAAACTTTCACGAGGGTTTCAACCCCAGCTTCAGGGCAAACAGAGCGATGTAGGAATTTCCCACAATGCCCTTGGCAAGGTTGTCCCCAGCATCCCATAACCCAGGCCCAGGAAGAACCTAAGCCCTGTACCTACAGCTGTAGAGTTGAGAAAGGGCCTGCCTGTGTCCAGTCTTCCCTCTCCTTCTTGTATCCTCGCCCAGCCTCTTGTTCCTCTTTCCTTCCCACCACCCTGGGCCCCTGATTGCAACCATAGGAGAGGGGGAGGGGGCTTCATCTCCTGCCTCCCATCTTGTTCTCCCTGTAACTCTCCCATGTGTCTGTCTTTTCTGACACCTCTCTTCACCTCCCTCCCATGTGTCCCTCCTCTTTCCTGTTCCTCCCCTCCCCTCGTCTCTTTCTCTCCACAGACTTTCCTGGCCTCCAGCGGGGGACTGTATTGCCTGGGTGGAGGCTGCGGGAACGTTGTAATTCCAGGCTGCATGAGCCCGTCTAGCACGTGGCCGACCAGCTCTGCCCTGCAGCTTGCATGCCCTAGCTGGCTGCATGCATGGCATGGGGTGCCAAGCATTTCCGGGCTCCCTTCTCCAGGGAGTGGGTCCACTAGGGCCTGGGCTGGGGGAGGTGGGGGCTCTGTGGTAGAATGTGCATGGATGCAGTGGCCTCCTTAGACCCCTAGGGAGCAGGGTGAGGGTCTAACCCAGCAGGGGAACACAGCCCCAAGAGGCATGCACTGCCACAGAGCTTTAGTGGCAGCTCATCGGGCACAAAGCCTGGGGGGGAATGGGAGACACAGGGAACCGGCCAAAGAGGCCTCTCGCTGCCCCAATTGTCTGTGTTGAAGAAAGTAGGCACAGCCCACGCCCATAGTTTACACCTGTCATCCTAGCTACTTGGGAGGCTGAGATCTGAGGATCTCGGTTGGAAGCCAGCCTGGGCAAGAGAGTCTATGAGGCTTTTATCTCCAATGACTCACCAGAAACAGGCAGTGGCACTGTGGCTCAAAGTGGTAGAGCACCAGCCTTGAGCAAAAGAGCTTAGGGACAGCGCCCAGGCCCTGAGTTCAAGCCCCACGACTGACCTAAAAAAAAGAAGACAGAAAAGAAATCTGGCACGGGGCTAGAGCTTGCCTAAGTGGATACTTGAGAGTCCCCTAGAAGTTAGGACAACAGGTCAGATAGGCTTTGGGGGCATCTTTGCATTGGAATGTTCTAGAAATGGGGGCACAGGATGGCCACCAGCGTACTTAGCTCAGTGGCAGCTTGAAAGGGGACACGAGGCCCCAGAGAGCTGGCAGTGGTCTGGCTGAAGCCCTGCTGTTGGCTACTCTCAGCACAGCTTGTCCACCTGCTGCTAGCTGACCAGTCCCAGATCCCCGGGGCCCAGATGGGCCCTGAGGGAGGGGCTGGGCCTCCCCCTGCCGTGCACACCTCCCTGACACTCACCCACTGCACCTCCGGCCCCTCCCTGCCCCCTCCTGAGGCGCCACCCCTAGACTGACCTCTGGGCTGCTGCCCCCCCCCCCCCCCGCAGGACCCGGATGAGAGCGCCCGTATCTCCAGCGCCTTCTTCCGCCTGTTCCGTGTCATGAGGCTGATCAAGCTGCTGAGCCGGGCAGAGGGAGTGCACAACCTGGTGTGGACATTCATCAAGTCCTTCCAGGTGTGGAGAGCCGGGAACTGCCCTGCCCTGGTGCAGGGAGCGGGGTGGGCTGCGGGGCAGGGGTGGGGCCTGTGGCTCACACTCCCCCCCACCCCTCCCGCAGGCTCTGCCATACGTGGCCCTGCTCATCGTCATGCTCTTCTTCATCTACGCAGTCATTGGCATGCAGGTGAGGACAAGCCCAGGGTGGCCCCAGTCCAGTGAGATGGGCATCTTGGGCCCAGGAAACCGTTACCAGCACGGGGATGGGACCCTGCATCTTCTCTGCCCCCCCCACGCCCCATATCCCAGTGGCCCAGGGGGCAGTAGCCAGGCTCAGCAAGGTCGCTTGGGCTCTGTAGCCAGATGCTGTGGTGTCAGGGCCAGGATGTGGCCCCTGGCAGGTGATGAACAGCAATGGCCAGATCTGGCTGGGACCTCACCCTGAGTCCTGCCCACGCCGTGACGTCCTAGGCCCTCTTTCTCCAATGGGACGAACTGGCCCAACTTTCCTGTGCTTTGACAGGAAGAATGTGACACGATCTAGAAAACCAAACGCCCCTGGTTTGGTTTGGATAAAAGGTCAAGGAGGGAGCTGCCTGTACCAACAGATCTCTGTGCTTCACAGATGTTTGGAAAGATCGCCATGGTGGATGGGACCCAAATAAACCGGAACAACAACTTCCAGACCTTTCCACAGGCCGTGCTGCTGCTCTTCAGGCAGAGTCCTCCCGCCCCGCCCACTGCCCCCCCAGCCTTGGCCCCCGTGCTCTGTCCCAATCTGCACTGGAGACAGAGCTAAGCCCCGCATCTGCCCTGCGCCCCGAAGGCTCTTGCTTGGATTAATGGCCCAGCCGTCGCCCTCTGGAAGGTCTTGCATTGTTGTTTAGCACTGAGCCCCTCCTCGAGTGCTACCTGTTCCTCCATCCAGCAGCCAGCCCCGGAGGGCCCTGGCCTTCCCACTGCCCCAGCAGTGCCCGCTCCTGGACGACCTGAGGTGGAGCTGCGCTGTTCATTAGCACTGTAGGAGGGAGGAGCAGAGGGCAGCCATGAGGACCGCCCAGTGCGGAAGTTTGCAGGCTTTGTGCCCTGGGCATCTGGCCCCCAGTCTGCTCCTTTGCCGTCCCACCAGGCTGCTAGCTCCTGATCACCGGGCAGGGGGTGCAGGCCAACAGGAGCTCTCTTCTCTCCTCCAGGTGTGCCACAGGTGAGGCGTGGCAGGAGATCCTGCTGGCCTGCAGCTACGGGAAGCTGTGTGACCCAGAGTCAGACTACGCCCCCGGGGAAGAGTACACGTGCGGCACCAACTTCGCCTACTATTACTTCATCAGCTTCTACATGCTCTGCGCCTTCCTGGTGAGATGCCAGCGGGGGGGGGGGGGGGAAGGGGGGACCGAGGAACGGAGGGGTGGGGCCTGCCAGAGCTCTGGACAGCTGTGTCCCCCCAGGGACCCAGTCGAGGTCTGGCCTGATTGTCCCTTGTTCCTCTCATCTTGGATATCTTGGTTTGTGAGCCCTTTCTCTTGCCCCAAAGAGATTACAGACAGTTCTTACTGCATATGTAGTATGTATACCATGTATATTATACTCATTACATATGTGTGCATGGATGTGCTTTTATGTGTTAGCAATTAGACATCAAGAGGAATTTAAAGAGGCCATGTCTTAAATAGGTAGGGACTCCCTATAAAGACATTTATCCCTATCTACTTCTTGGATGAGAAAGTTACCCTACTTTGTGGATTGAAACTCTGCAAACTGGGCTTCCCAGTCGGGGTTAACCCAGAAACAATGATGCATGCCTACTATTCTCTTAACCCAGCTCCATCCAGAGGTAGGAAAGTCACAGTCTGAGGCTGGCCCAGGCTAAAGCACAAGACTCTATCTGGAAAGCAAAAGGTTTGCGGGCTCATGGCTCAGTGGTAGCATGAGGCCTGAATTCAATCCCTAGTACTGAGGAGGAGAAATGGAATGAAGAGAAAAGAGAGGAAAGGAGGGAAGGAAGAAAGGAGGGAAGGAGGGAAGGAAGGAAAGAGGAGAGGAAGGAAGGAAGGAAGGAAGGAAGAAGGGAAGAGGGAAGGAGGGAAGGTGGGAAGGAGGGAGAGAAAGAGGGAGAGGAGAGAAAAGGAAGGAGGAAAGGAAGAAAGGAAAAAGAAAGAGAATAAGAAAAAGGATTAGAAGCTGAGCAGTATCAGTTGTGAGGCTGTCCATAGAAAGGCCTAGTGTTTTCTTTCCTATAGTTGTTTAAAACCTTTGATGGCCTGGATGTGCCTAGCTCTGGACTCTGCTCAGAGGCCAAAATCATGCATAAGGCCTAGTCCTGACCCTGGCTGAGCTCACGGGGCAAGGAGAGCCCATGAGTGGACAAGCCTGACCATTCCTAAGGGTCCTCAGAATAGACAGAAATCATGAGAGGGACTTGGGCCGGGCCCCGAGGAGAGCAGAGCACCTCCCTGGGTGGGGGCAGCCAGCTGAGACGGGAGAGGCTGACACAGAATGCTCCAGCTGGGTTGAGAGAAGCTGGCGGTGCCGCTGTGCTGCAGGAGCAGAGGCAGGGCCAGCCCGGCCTCCTGGGGAGTGTGGGTAGAGCAGGAGGGCCTAGACAAGAGGTACTGTGGCCACATACCCTGTGGACACCTCCTGGCGCCCCCCGATCCTCACATCAGCTGCCTTTCCTGGAACCAACGGTCTTCTTGCAGATCATCAACCTCTTTGTGGCTGTCATCATGGACAACTTTGACTATCTCACACGCGACTGGTCCATCCTGGGTCCGCATCATCTGGATGAGTTCAAGGCCATCTGGGCTGAGTACGACCCAGAGGCTAAGTGAGTCCAGTCAGGGTCCCCTGGGGGCTCACTCTCTTCTCCTTTCATCCACCCATTGCTAGGGCATAAGCTGGAAAAGGCCTCCAGCCTCCCACGGTGGAGAGATGCTGGACTTCCTAGGTCATCTAGCCTCTGCTTGACCATGGGAACTCAGCCCCTCACCAGGCACTCCAGGCCTGGCTGTGCCAGTGTATTCTGCTGCTGAGGACTGAACTCGGTTAAAATGCAGAGTCCCATACATAAAGGGGTCAGAATCCATGTTTCCAGGTGCTGTGTCAGGCCCATTTAATTCTCACCACAGCCCATGACCCAGACTTCCTGATCATTTGAGTTTCACCTGCAAGGGAAATGAGATTCAGAGAGATTCGTTGTGCTTACCCTGATTTAACACAGTCAGGGAAGAGATGGCACCAAGATTCAAGGCAGGTCTGTCCAGAGGTGTGCTGGAGCAGCTTGGCTTTGATGCATGTGTGTTAGGGGGATGGAAACCAGCCCTCCAACAAGGCCTACACCAGCCCCCTGCCACAGACAGGAACCCCTGAGTCTCCTTTACAGCCAGCCCAGAGAAAGCAGGCCCATACTTAGGTCCTTCCAACATGATTTTTCTCAAGGCGATGCATGCTTGCTAAGGTACTTGACTCATCTGGCTTTCCTGACTGCTCTGATTTATGCTGCTTTTGTAGGGGCATAGTTGCAATGAAAACATGGTTTCTAGCTCCCAAGCAGTCCTTGGAAATGGAACCACACACACACACACATACACACACACACACACACACACACACACACACACACACACACACACACACACACACACACACACACACACACACACACACACACACACACACACACACACACCCTTGATCCACACACTCTACTTCTATTAATACAGCCTGTGCTGGTTTGCCCAAAACCTAAAGGGATTAGCATAGGGAAAATGAGGTACAGGTTTACACTTGGAGATCCCCTACCCAAGAGGACATCCCCTAAAAAGAGAGTCATTATCTAAAACAGAGCATCACTCCTGCTAGTGGACCAAGTGCCACCAATCCTCATCTTTTCTTTTAAAAGGATGCTAGGGCTAGGATGCTAGTGGCTCACACCTGTAACCCCAGCTACTCAGGAGGCTGAGATCTGAGGATTGTGGTTTGAAGCCAGCCTGGGCTGAAAACTCTGTGAGACTCTTACTTCCAATAAACTACTAAAATAGCCAGAAGTGGTACTGTGGCTCACGCGGTAGAGCACTAGCCTTGAGCAAAAGCAGCTCAGGGACAGCGCCCACACCTTGAGTTCAATCCCAAGAGGATGCTAGGCTCCCTCATCCTCAGCAAAGTTGGCAGATGAGGAAGTCCCCCCTGTGCCTGGCCCCTTCCCTCCCGCCCCTGTCTGACCAGGAGGAAGCTGGTGGGTGGGGCCCTGGGCGTACGAGTGCCCATGTCATCCGCAGGGGTAGGATAAAGCACCTGGACGTCGTGACGCTGCTGAGGAGGATCCAGCCCCCTCTAGGCTTTGGGAAGTTCTGCCCACACCGCGTAGCGTGCAAGGTAACCGGAGCAGGCTGCCAGGCAGGGGTGGCTTCCTGGGAGAGGAAGAGGCCCATGTCCACAAGGCAGGGCAGCTGGCAGAGTGAGTCGAGGAGGACAGTGATCTCAGCTTCCATCACTGTAACAAATAGCTGAGTTAATCACCTTAGAAAGAGCAAAGGTAGCTGGGTGCTGGTGGCTCACGCCTGTCATCCCAGCTACTCAGGAGGCTGACATCTGAGGATCACGGTTCAAAGCCAGCCTGGGCAGGAAAGTCTGTGAGACTCTTATCTCCAATGAACCATCAGAAAACTGAAAGTGGACTGTGGCTCAAGTGGTAGAGCACTCACCTTGAGCTGAAGAGTTGAGGGACAGCGCCCAGGCCCAGAGTTCAAACCCCACGACTGACCAAAAAAAAAAAAAAAAAACAAAGAGCAAAGGTGTCTTTTGCTCACAGCTAAGGGGGGCTCCAGTTCATGATCAAAGCCCCATTGATTATAGGCCTCTAGGGGCTGGGAAGTTGGCTCAGTGATAGAGCGCTTGCCTTGCATGCCTGAGGCCCTGGGTTCGATTCCTCAGCACCACATAAGCAAAAAGAAAAAAGCCGGAAGTGGCGCTGTGGCTCAATTGGTAGAGTACTAGCCTTGAGCTGAAGAGCTGAGGGACAGCGCCCAGGCCCAGAGTTCAGGCCCCACGTCTGGACCCAAAAAAAAAAAATTGTGGATTATAGGCCTCTGGGCCTAAAATCATCTGCTCATGGCAGAGCAAAGCAGCACGTATCACAGCTGAGACCAAAGGAGGATGGACCCTGGGTCCCACAGCTCCACTAGCGCATGGCCCCTGAGGACCCTCCACCTCTTATAGTTTCCCCCAGGGAGCTGAGCTTTTATAAGCACAGAGGCCTTGGGGACATTCCACATCCAAGCCACGGTCGCTGTCTGATGGGCACGAGTCTTGCTGATGTTGCCCCCAGGATGGTTCCATCCGCTCGTAGAAGGGAGTCCCAGTGGGCCTATACCCCGGCCCTCAGACCCCAGTCCCTCCCAGGCCACAGAGCCGTGAGGGTGACCTGCCCAGCTTGGCAGGGTCTCAGCGGCTGCCTGTCCCCGCGCAGCGCCTGGTGGGTATGAACATGCCCATGAACAGCGATGGCACGGTCACCTTCAACGCCACGCTCTTCGCCCTGGTGCGCACGGCCCTCAAGATCAAGACGGAAGGTGAGAGCTCTCCCGCGGCGCCCCTCTCCTCCCTCAGAGGACGCTTCCTGACATGGATTCTGCTAGACTCTCAAAGCAGAAGCTTGGGATCAGGAGCCACAGGAAGAAGCAGAGGAGCCCAGACCGTGGCCCCCGGCCCCTTGGGGCTCAGAGGAAGCTGGGGAATTCTCTCAGCAGGGCGAGTCTGCTGAGGACCCGTTCCCACACTCCATAGCTGTGTCTGGGGGCCAGAGGGTCACCTAAGCCAGCACAGGAGTGGGGTCCCCTGGGGTTGGCTCTGAGCGGGGGCAGAGGTAGAGCTCAGTAGTGTTGGGCAGGCTGTGGGAGCCCACCCTTGATTTCCCTAAAGCTATAGATCCTCACCTACTGGGAAGGCAGACATAACAGGAGTAGGGAAGGAATGAGCGTGGGCCTGCATGGTCTAGGGGCCACTCTTACCTCTCCCCGGCCACAGGTAACTTTGAGCAGGCCAATGAGGAGCTGAGAGCCATCATCAAGAAGATCTGGAAGAGGACCAGCATGAAGCTCCTGGACCAGGTCATCCCTCCCATCGGAGGTGGGTGTGGCTTGGGGAGAGCAGAAAGGGGAAGCAGCGTCAACAAGACGCTGAAGGAAGCTTCCTGACTGTCCCATCGACAGGAACTTCAGACCCACCATGAATAGTTTCTCAAGGGACCTTACAAAAAGGAGAGTCTCACAAGGTCGAGGTTAAGCAACAATTTAGTAAAACACAATAAGATTGGGAGAAAAGGGCAGAGGAAGAAGAAATATCTCTTGTTTGACATGCACATGAGAGTCAAAAGAATCAGATTTTAGCTGGTAGCTCATGCCTATAATCCTAGCTACTCAGGAGACTGGGATCTGAGAATTGCAGTTCAAAGCCAGCCTGGGCAAGAAAGCCCGTAAGACTCTTATCTCCAATTAACCATCATAAAACTGAAGTGGTGCTGTGGCTCAAAGCTGTAGAGCACTTGGGCAAAAGAGCTTAGAGACAGTGCCCAGGCCCTGAGTTCAAGCCCCATGGACAACAACAACAAAGACAGAAGATCAAATCTTTATATTAATGAGCTGGAAACTACTTATGGTCTAGCATTCCCTAACCATTCTGTTGAGTATCCATTGAGACAAAGGCCTTAGGATGGGTTAGCCAAAACATGGAGACTTCTTCCTATTTGTCTAACAAGCCCCTTAAGAGTTTATAGCTTTCTGCTGGGCACCAGTGGACTCACACCTGTAATCCCAGCTATTCAGGAGGCTGAGAACTGAGGATCATGGTTGAAAGCCAACCCTGGCAGGAAAGTCCAGGAGAATTTTATTTCCAAATAACAACACACACACACACACACACACAAAGCTGGAGCCAGGTGCCGGTGGCTCACGCCTGTAATCCTAGCAACTCAGGAGGCTGAGATCTGAGGACTGTAGTTTAAAAACAGCCCAGGAAGTTTGCGAGACTCATATCTCCAATACACTACTAAGAAGTGGCACTGTGGCTCAAATGGTAGAGTGCTAGCCTTGAACCTATTAAGCTCAGAGACAGAACTCAGGTCCCCTGAGTTCAAGCTCCAAGATGGGGGCGGGGGGCAAAGGTGGAGAGCTGGAAGTGGATCTGTGGATCAAATGGTATAGCACTAGCCTGGCCCACTGCTGGCTGCTCCCAGCAAAGCCTGGTGTGAACAAGCTCAGGAATAGAACCTAGGCCCTAGGTTCAAATCCCAAGACCAGCACTAAAAACAAAAACAAACAAAAAAAAAGAGTTTATAGCTTCTTATCTTCCAAAATAAGAAGGCAGATTGACTCTTAATTTTGCATCCTTAGTCTTATAATATCTAGAAGGAGAAGGGAGGCTAATGGGAAAACAGCTAGTCATGTCAGTGTTAATTTCCTGGATCTGTGTTAACTCTGGAATCTGACCTTTTGCATATGTTTAATTATTTTTAATTTCCCTATCCACTTCATCTGTCTATCTATGTGGTCTCACAAGTAGTCCTACAAGAACCTGAGACTAATCCAAGAGCTCTGTAAATACCTTAGCTACAGGCAGCCTCAGGCCTCGGGGCAGGAAGTGCCCACTGACACAGCCCGCAAGGCAAGGGAGGGCTTTGGACTCGTGTCAGCTCCCTCTGAAGTCAGGACCTCCTTCCCTGACTCCTCTGCAGATGACGAGGTCACCGTGGGGAAGTTCTATGCTACCTTCCTCATCCAGGAACACTTTCGGAAGTTCATGAAGCGCCAGGAGGAATATTATGGCTATCGGCCCAAGAAGGACACTGTACAAATTCAGGTAAGCCCCACACACACACACACACAGAGCCCTGCTGATCCATGGCTTCAAGAGCTAGATCTTCTTGCGGAGGCAGAGGGAGGGAAGGAGTTAGAGAAGAAGGAAATGAGATGACAATTTGGGATGGTCCACAAGGAAAGGAGAAGCAGGAGGTCGCCAGACAAAGGAACAGAGGGTTGCTACTCAGGAGGATGAGATCTGAGGATCATGGTTCAAAGCCAGCCCAAGCAGGCAAGTCTGTGAGACTCTTATCTAACATAAACTACTAAAAAAGCCAGAAGTAGAGCTGTGGTTCCAGTGGTAGAGCACTAGCCTTAAGCAAAAGAAGCTCAGGGACCATACATAGGCCCTGAGTTCAAGCCTCAGGACTGGCACTAACAAGAAAAATAAAAGGTTAGAAAGACTGGAGCAGGGCTGGGAACTGACCCCACAGAACCCCGTGACACAGATGGGGCAGAAGGAAGAGCAGGCTTCAGGAAAGCCACAGAAGAGGGGATTAGACCCGAGTGGACCAGCAGCTCCAGCCTCCACTCCTGGACCGAGGCATGAGCAGGTCACTTGGCCATTTCCCAGGCTGGACTGCGGACCATAGAGGAAGAGGCAGCCCCCGAGATCCACCGCACCATCTCAGGAGACCTGACCGCGGAGGAGGAGCTGGAGAGGGCTGCCGTGGAAGCCGCTATGGAGGAGGGAATATTCCGGGTGAGCGAGGGCCATGACCTCTCTTGGTGACCTAGACACGGGAGCGGCAACAGTGGAGGGCCAAGAGCCCCGCCACACGGAGAGGCACCCGCCCTCCCCACCTCACCATCTGCCGTGACCAGCCCACCCGAGCGTCAGTCAGAACACGCCCCTTCCTGCCATACCCAAACACTCGTCCAAGGTCCATACCCAGAGACCTGCCTCTGCTAATGAATGCTTCCTACGTTTTTGAGCTGGAGGATGCTCTCTTTAAACCCTTCTGTGTTATCCATGAGGATATGGTGGTCCAAAGAGAAGATATGTGATGCCCTGTGTGACATGGTTAGGGAAAATTTCTAGAACCGGTTCTGAAGAATCTCAATTCAGTGCTTTCTCCACTGAAACATCTTTTCCTATCTGAATGTGCGTGTCTCCTGTACATGTCCCATCTAAGCCATCCAGTGGAGAGTTGGCTGAGGGAGGAAGGGGATTCTCCTCTCTTCTGGCCTTAGAGCTTTACCTCCAATCCCATCCCCTGTCCCCCCACCATCACCCAAGTGACAGCCCTGGCCTCCTTGCCTCTAGAGGACTGGAGGTCTCTTTGGCCAAGTGGACAACTTCATGGAAAGGACCAACTCCCTGCCTCCGGTCATGGCCAACCAAAGACCCCTTCAGTTTGCGGAGATAGAGATGGAGGAGCTAGAGTCACCTGTCTTCTTGGAAGACTTCCCTCATGATCCAAGAACCCACCCTCTTGCTGGTGCCAATACCAACAATGCCAATGCCAATGTTGCCTATGGCAACAGCAACCATAGCAACAACCAGCTGTTTTCCAGGTACTTAGTGGCAACTTCTGGCTTTGGATGGGGGTGAGGGCGATTGGATAGGATTTGATGGGGTTAGCTTAGCAGGCTCCTGGCTACATGGATAGGAGGCATCCTGAAATTTACAAGCTGGCCTTTGTTTGCCTTTGTGTCCTTGGGGAGCATTCTGCATCTTAGGAGGCAGGCTTGTGTGCAGAGCCACTATTGGCCAGTAGGGGGCAGCCTCCTTTCAGCATTGGCCTCATGCTAAGTGGGTCTTTTAATTCCCCGGTCCACAGGAGACCTAGGAGCTGAGATGTACCAGGCATATTGCAGGTTAAGAGGAGAGGGTCTGCAGCAGCCATTCACACTACAGAACATAAAGGTTCAGTCACTGGATTTCGGTTCCAAGGAGATCTCACCAACTCCAGGCTGTAGGCTAAATATAATCTGTGATTGTCTAAGTGTCATGAAAAGCAGCAGGATGAGGGAGGAGTCGCTATATCCTAGGGGTGGGCTCCAAGCTGAGCTGCTCTTCTAAGACAGGAGGCCAGCTAGGGCAGAATGAGACAGAAGCCCCTTGAGTAGCTACTACCGAGGGGCAGGCTGCCTACACCCCACTCCAGCCAGAGGGGCCATTCAAAGCCAACTAGAAGGCTTAATACCGCCATGTGTCCTTGCATTACCAGGGTGCTACACAGAGAAGAGGGTTATTTGGGAGCTATTGTGTGATGACTATGAGCAAATAATTGACAAGATTAGATGCCCTGAGAGGAGAGGAGATCAATATCACCTCTCAGAACTGAGCTTCGGCTACATACTAGAAGCATCTAAGAACTGTCAGAAACCCCGGTGTCTGGGGATGGGACACAACTGCTGCTGATTTTTAAAGCTCCCTAATGAGAACCAGGGTCTTGAGGGCCGTGAGATTTGGAAAGAGAAGAAGGAGCATTGAGCAGAAGTAGAGACGGCCATGTGTTTGGCTTATTCCTCCAGATCCAGGGCTGGCTAGGCAAAGAGCTGGGAGCCTCGGCCCTGCACTCAAGGCCTCTATACCAGCCCCAGAAGGAGCGAGGGGTGAGGGGGCCACAGAGGGAATGGGATGGTGGAGAGCCAATGGCATGCTCGGGTTTACCAGCCTCGATTCCATTGCAGTGTCCGCTGCGAAAGGGAGTTCCCTGGAGAGATGGAGACGCCTGCAGCCAGAGGAGGAGCCTTCGGCCAACCCCGCAGGGCCCTGGGTCAGTCGGTCCCTTCTGTGCACTGAGAAGCTGAGCCTTCTCTTAAAGGAGGGGGCCGGGAGGTCTCCCTCTTCCCTCGGAGCCTGAGAGTCTGGCGTCAAGCCATTGCTGGGCCCAGAGTACAGCACCCTCCTTCTGCCAACGGGGGCACCAGCAAGGAGCTGGGAGCGGGCCGCCCTCTCCCAGGGCTTCCATAGGCTTGCCAGAACACTCATCTCACCCCACAGGAGGTCTCCTCCTCCAGGGCCCAGTCTGAGGCCACGTCCTCATACTGGATATAGGGCAGCTGGACTCCAGGGCCCTTCGGTGCATGATCCTGGGTCCTGGACTGCTGGCCCCAAGGATGCTAGGACCCGAGGCTGATGAAGTCATTTCCTCTCTGTCTCTGTCTGCCTCTCTCTCACACACACACCCCTACCTTCATGCATATATACAGACACTCTGAAGAACCATTTAGCTGAAGACTTCACCCTGAGTCCCTCTCCCAAATCCACAAGGACAGAGCCTGGCAGAGTCAGGGCGATTCTAGCTGGCCTGCCGCCGGCTGGGGCCTAAACACAGGCCCACCCTCTAAGCCACCTTCTGTGGCTGTGCAGGTGAGACAGTCCACTCGGGGCTCAGGGCAGGAGTCACCGACACCACGTATTCTTGCCCACCTTGCCACAGGACCCCAGAGCACACCCCGAGTGGACACGCCGGAAGGACGGCTGATCTCAAGGGGAATGCCCAGAGGCCAGGCGCCTACGGCCTCGTGCCAGGTAACAGGGCGGAGGCTGGAGGCAACATCATACAGACCCTGCCCTCCATCCCTGCCCAAGCTAGGAGTGGGGCTAGGCAGGAGGCGGGTCAAGCAGCAAGCTGTCCATTCAGAACAGACCATCTGGGTCCCTGGCTCCTCTCCATTTTTTTCTTTTTTTTGGTCATGGGGTTTGAACTCTGGGCCTGGGCGCCGTCTCTCAGCTCTTCAGCTCAAGGTGAGCACTCTACCACTTGAGCCACAGCGCCACTTCTAATTTTCTGGCAGCTCATTGGAGATAAGAGTCTCACAGACTTTTTCCTGCCTGGGCTGGCTTTGAACCGTGATCGTCAGATCTCGGCCCCCTGAGTAGCTAGAATTGTAAGCGTGAGCCCCCGGCGCCCGGCTGCTCCTCTCCTTTTTGTGGGTCTCAGTGGAGCCTCTCTTGGAGGACTTGGGATGAGCCGAGCCTGTGGGTTCCAGGCTCCTTGTTGGGGTCTTTGCTTGTGTGTATTTGGAATAGCACCCCAGGGCAGAGCCTTCCAAGCGTGAAGAGAGGAAGAGCCCCACTGCAGCATCTCTGGAAACCCCGCCCGGCAGGAGCCCTGAGGACAGCACCCTTGGGCGCCCAGCTCCAGCAACAGCCCTGCTGATCCAAGAGGTGAGGCGGGGCTGGGACCGAGCGGAGAACCGCATTGAGAGGGGGTGGCCATATGACACGCCACAGAAGGCCAGCCCCCAGCAGCAGCCCACCCAGCCCCCTCTCCTCCCACAGGCCCTGATTCGAGGAGGCCTGGACTCCCTGGCAGCGGATGCCACCTTCGTCAGGGCAACAGGCCAGGCCCTGGCAGACGCCTGCCAGATGGAGCCAGAGGAAGTGGAGGTGGCAGCTACAGAGCTACTGAGAGGACGGGAGTCCCCGGAGGGCACGGCCAGGGCTGGAGGAGGCCCGAGCCTCCGGTCTTCTCTGGGTAGCCTCAATCAACAGCAGGGCTCCCAAAAGGCCCTCATTCCTCCTGGGCTGTGAAGTCTATTCAGAACGGCCATAGGACTGGCATGACCAAGGGGCAGGAGGATGCCATAGTGGATGGGGAAGGACCTGCTCCTCACAGCACCTTCGCTCCCTCTGGGCAGCCAGAGGCAAAGCTGAGCACAGGTGGTCAGGAACCACCTCCCAAAGCTAGGGGAGGACAGAGGGGGCGGGACAGGCCCCGCCCCTCAACCAGCAAGAAGCCTGATTGGACGCAACTTCTAACATCATTCAAAAATGGTTCGTCTGTCACAAGGCCGCTCCCATTAGCAGACATTAAATTCTCCCAGTCTGTGATACCTAGCCTCTGCTTGTCTTTTTTTTTTTTCCTCTCTCCATCCCCTCTTCCTCCTCCATCTTTAAAGCCTAGCCAAAGAACAAAAGGTCCACCTGTATTTATTCTTCTTCATGAGAAGGGAAGGACTTGTATAGAGGGATCCTTCTGGAAGTCCATGGATCAGGCCCACGGAGGCACGATCTGTGGCCTTTGCCTCAGCACCACAGCCTGGCCATACCACAGCCAACATTCCCTGAAGCTAGGAGCAGGTCTCTTTGGACGGAGTCCACGGCCAACGCAGCCCTGAGGCCTTGGTGAGTTGGCTTTACAGCTGTGGTTATCACAGATCTGCAGGCTCCCTAGCTCCACTTAGCCACACCCTAACGGATGACTGGCAGCGGCCACTATTTCCCAAGTGCCTCCTGAGGATCACTCTACGTATCATCCCCAACCAGGGGGCTGAACACACATTCACATAGTACCCTCACACAATAGCCATGTTATTTGCACCACCAGCTTGTGATTGGTAGAGAATCCATGTTCAAGACAAGGAAACAGAGGCACAGAAATGGGGGTCCAGGACAGAGGTGAACCTATCTCCTCCTTTCCTTCTGAACCCAGCAGAAAAAACCCAGCCTAGCCATCAGCCACATCCCCTTCCCGTCCACCCCCGCCCCTCTACTGGCTCCTTCTGTCTGCATGTAGTGTATTCTAGACCCTGCAGCCATACTGTCTTTACTTACCTTCCTATCTATCTATCTATCTATGGCCTATCTGCTTAGCATCTACCCATCTATTATCAATCCACCTACCATCCATCCATCTATCACCTGTCTATCATTTGTTGCTATCTATCTATAATCTATCCATCCAGCCACCTACTCATTTCCATTATCCAGGACCAAACTTCTCACCTGGGCTGTCTCCTTGTCTCCACTTCTTTTTTCTTATCAACAGATACTTTTGTTATTATAAAGGTGTATTCAGAAGGGGTTACAGGTAAGTCAAGTAATGTGTGCGTTTCTTTTTAGACAGTGTCACCCGATCCTTTGCTGCCGGGTCTCCATTTCTGTTTCTATTCCCACGTCTCCTTCGCACACAGCCTGACCTCGGCCTCCTCCCCTCCCCTTTCAGATTCTTACCCCCTTCACTTCTCCCCTCCCCCCACCACGTCCTGGACCTCCTGAATTTCCTGCCACCTCACAAGTTTCCCAACTTGATGCTTCCTTGCTGCTCTCCTGGAGATTTCCTGAGTCTACCACTTGAACCAGCCCCACCAATCCCCATTTTGCTATTATATCCTGCGCAAAGCTTTCCCCGAACACACCCACTCAGTCTGTAGCCAGAATTCAGCACACCATCTTTCTGCAGCAGGGACTGAATGAAGCCTGGGGGTCACTGCTATTGACTCCAGCCAGCCACTGAGCCACATAAAGGCTGCAGCTGCGCCACTGGTCACAGTCACCTTCCAGGGCTCTGCCACTCATTGGTGGCTCAGCAGCTAAGCAGCTGTTAAATACAGGAAGGAGCTAAGAGGTGTGGATCCTGCCCCAGGCAGGCATGGTGCCCAGTGTCACCCACACTTCCGTGCACCCCCAGCCACTTTGGCCCCACACACAGGCCTAGGGAAGCTCGGTGGTGGAGCTGGTGGGGGAGCTGCCTTCAGACTCCCCACAAAGAGAGCACTTTACCCACCAGCAGTCACTTTCACCAGCTTTCATTCAAAAGACTTATCTCTATGGGAGATAAGAATGAGCAATTTAGCCCTGGGGGCTGGTGGTTCCTGCCTCTAATTCTGCCTACTCTGGAGGCTGAGATCTCAGGATTTAGGTTCCATGCCAACTGAGGCATAAAAGTCTAAGAGAATCTTATCTGCAATTAACCACAGAGAGAGAGAGAGAGAGAGAGCTGAAGTAGAGCTGTGGCTCAAGTGGTAGAGCATCAGCCTTGAGTACAAAGGCTAAGGACAGTACCTAGGCCCTGAGTCCAAGCCCCAGGACCGGTGTGTGTGCACCCACGTGCACACACACACACAAACTAAATGAATAGCAACTTCATGTGTCTGCACCTGATTTGCTGTAAGATTTTTTTTTTCTTTCGGTCATGGGGCTTGAACTCTGGGCCTGGGCGCTGTCCCTCAGCTCTTCAGCGGGAGCTCTACTGCTTGAGCCACAGTGTCACTTCCAGTTTTCTGGTGGTTAATTGGAGATAAGAATCTCACGGGCTGTCCTGTCCCGGCTGGCTTCGAACTGTGATCCTCAGATTTCAGCTTCCTGAGTAGCTAGGATTACAGGCGTGAGCCACTGGCACCCAGCTTGTAAGATTCTTTAAAGAGTAATTTATGAGTCAGCTGATCATCTCCTATTAATAACCTATAGAACACTAACGATATATAGGTCCTATTCCAACAGTTTGCATGCATTGATTTATTCAGTTTCCTTCTATTTAAGAAAGGTATCATCATCCTGATTTGGCAAATAAGTCCCAGAGAGGACAAGTAACTCGCCTGACTTCACACAGCTCCTAAGTGGGCCAAGATGGGCAGTAAGCCCAGGAGGGTTAGTACCAAGATTCCATTTCCTTAACTGTTGTTTAATCTGTCAAATCGGTGCTATTTCTCCCTGCCTAACTGACAGCTATAGATGTAGACACAGGTTCTGGGTGGCTTTCCTTTCTATGAGGCCCTCCAGCTTTTGAAGACTTCCGGCAGTTTCCTTTGTTCTCTATCATGGGCCTCTCTCCTGACTTCACTTGACTTGGTGAGTGTCTCCTAGCAGCTGCCAAGGAGGTGGAGCTGGGGTAGAGAGGGAGTGGGCAAATCAGACAGCTGCCCCTGGCAGTGGGACCCCCTGACAGAGCCTGGGTACCATGGGCACAGGTGGGGCCACCTCCTGTCACCTGGGGACACTGCCCAGACGCAGTGTGCATCGACTCCCTGAAGACTTGGGGGCCAGCTGCTGGGTGGGGGTGCTGCCAGAAGGGGTGTGGCTTGCCACGGGTGGGGGGTGTGCACAAAGTGATATGCACAGGACTTGGGGAGGACCCTCCATCTGGAAGGCACAAGGAAGGCCAAAGAGTGGGTCCCAGACACCCTCAGAACGGAGATGCCTGCTTCTCGCCCTGGACCAGATCAGGGCCTGCTCCTCCTGGGACTTATGCTATTTTATGTATTCTATGTGTATATATATATATATATATATATATATATATTGTCAATCCAGGTCCTGGGTGCTGTCCCAAGCTCTTTTGCTCAAGGCTAACACTCTACCACTTTGAGCCACAGTGCCACTTCTGGTTTTATGGTGGTTAATTGGAGATTACAGTCTTACAGACTTTTCCTGTCTTTGATCCTCAGATCTCAGTCTCCTGAGTAGTTAGGATTATAGGTGTGAGCCACCAGTGCCCAGTGGTATTTTATTTTTGACCTCAAGGCCTTGCACATGCTAAGTAGGTACTGTACCCCTCAGCAGCAGCAGGAAGAGGGAGAGGAAGATGAGGAGGAGGAGGAAGAAGAAGAGGAAGAGAAGGAGTCGGAGGAGGAGGAGGAGGAAGAGCAGGAGGAAGAGGAGGAGGAGGAGGAGAAAGGGGGTTAGTGTAAAGCAAAATGAGCAGAAGAGGCAAATTACTCAGTGCTGAGACAGAACCCAAGAACCAGAGAAGGAAGAAGCCACGGAGACTCCACATCGCTGCACCAGTGAGGAGCCAGGAAGAGACCCCCGGTCCCTCTTGCAAGCTTCAGAAAGGCAGTCAGGAAACAAAGGAGCAATCCATTCTCCGTACTAATGCCTCTGCCCCACAGCTCCTCTTCACCTGTGGCAGGAAGGCAGCTAACCCCCATCAAGCCCCTGCCGCAACATCCCTGCTCTGCAAATAGGTATGCTGCACAAGTCCTTTTTATATGAGGAGAAAACAGGTTCTGAATTATGTGAAGTCACTTGGCCATATGAAGCCAGGTGTCTTAACAGGAACCTAGACAGTATTCTTAAACTCCTTAACATCTTGCATTACTGTGAGGACCCCAGGACCATCTCCCCTTATCCCACCTGACTACAAACCTGGCCTGAGACTCCGCTGAGTTGTTTTTGGAGCCCCCCGCCCCTGCTCCCAGGCCATGCTCGCTGAACCCCCAGAATGTGCTCCTTAGCATCCAACCACCCCGCCTAACACCACCCTCTTCAGTCTTCTCTGATTCCCCTCAAGTAAACTTAAGGCACTTGATGACTTTCATTACACTGTATCCTAATTAGGCCTTTGTTGTGTGTCTTCTCTTTGACACTGTGAGTTTCTCAAGAACAGGGCTTGAGTATCAACTTTGTATCCTCAGCAAAGAAAAAAAGGAAGGAAGGGAGGGAAGAAGGAAGGGAGGGAGGGAGGGAAGGAAGAAGGAAGGAAGGAAGGAAGGAAGGAAGGAAGGGAGGGAGGAAGGGAGGGAGGGAGGGAGGGAGGGAGGGAGGGAGGGAGGGAGGGAGGGATACAGGGGGTCAATGGCATTAGATCATTTGAATTGCCAGTATTCTATCTGTTCTGAGCTACACAGTAGCAATCTGTTCATCTTCACCTTCGGCCCCCAGGGAAGGTTTCCCCACTGTGTGGAGCCCCTCTTGTAGTCCCTGCTTTCAGACAGCACACTGTGGCTTGGATGGGACTCAGCAGGTTCTGCACTGATGGGCTTCTTTCACTGTTGTCTTTGGGCTCGGATAGCAGTCTTCTCTGAAGAAGC